TGTAAAATGCGAGTGAAAATTTTCGATTCTGTGTACATTTTTTTAATACTCCCGCACAAATAGAACTGTCCTGCCTTTAGAAATGAGTAAGCAAAACAGTTTGGTAGGTGGAATATTCTCTACTGCAGCAAGGTTTGACAGATTCACTGACCAACAATGAGAATAGTCCCTCAGGTTGTAAGAGTTATATTTATTTTATCTCGCAAAAATCCACCATATGTGATTGATATAAAAATCATAATTTGGGTGAAATAGGAATGTATAATAACAAAGGATATAGGAATGTAATAATAACAAAGACCCTCGAAACACAGAGCTAAACCAGGCTCGATTGTGGATTGGAATTATTTACAGTTTACTAACTCATTACTGATATACGGACAGTCAAGTGGACATACGAGCACTAGACAACTATACAACTAGATCCAAGGTAGTTGGGGATAGTGTTAGAATTCTCAACGAATTATCTAAACTTAATAAGGTATACAATGAATGGGTTCCGGGTCACTCGGGAATTCATGGCAATGAAATGGCTGATGAACTAGCCAGACAAGGCTCTCAAACGACACCCATAGCTCCGGAACCCATCTGTGGTGTTAGTCAGTGTCTGACAACAAACAGAATCAGGGAGATATATGGTGCTGAAAACGAAAGGAACTGGTCATTGAAAAAGCAGACTCACTCTAGACTGTTTCAAGAAGGAATCTGCCAAAAAAAAGAACTAAGTTACTAATTAATTTGAGCAGCTCACTTAAAAAAATTACAGCAGAATATACAGGGCAGGCACTGTAAACTGAATTATCATATGTTCAAACTCTATAAAAAACTTTGTAGGTTCCGTGGCCGGGAGGATGAGACAGCGTTTCATGTTACTTGCTGGTGCGATGGGTTCGCTGGCCTAAGATTTCGTTTATTCGGCACTGATAGGGAAAAGGATCCCAAGGCAAACGAACTTATCAATCCAACAAGCTTATTACAGTTCATAGGGACTGCAGGAATTACACTCTAAACTGAAGTGACTTCAAACTGGGCGTACAATAGGCCTACATGGCCGTAGTGCACTCATGCCGCGGAAAAAAAAAAAAAAAAACTCATTAGTGATGCGGTTTTACAACACCAAGGCTTATCTAAAATTGATTCAAATCAAGTAGTGCTGTTAACTTAAATTAATGGAAGATTATCATTATTCTGGGTGAGCATGGATATTGATGATTCCAGTGATTTCGCAATGAATCCCAACTTTAGGATCAACGGTCATAAAATTAGGACAACTTCTACTAACCTCTGCTTAAAGGTTTTAGTGTCCATGATAATTATTTTTTAAAATATTTTTCGATTATTAAACTAACAAAATAACAACTCTAGCCAGTACTTTTGCCTACTTAGAAAGTTTATTAACAAGAAATATAAATACATAATAATAAAATAACTAAATAATTAGAAAACTAACCAACCCAAAAAAACTAATCTCTCATAATACAAAGCTTGACCAAAGTTCAAAAAGATAAAAATGACAAATTTAAATATCTTATCGGTTCATCTTACCTTGCACACCTTTTAAGAATTTCTTTGATATCATCCCTTATCGAGTGAGGCATCAACCATAGTAACAATCATTAATCAACATGTCAACACTTCGCAGTATATTTTTCTTTATTATTTATCCATTTAATACTTAACATAATATAATTATAACTAAATATAATACTAATATTATCAAGGAGTTATTTCACATTAATATTGTAAATATAAATAAGAAACTATAATATAACAAGGCTTCTATCTAGGAAGATCTATTTGTATTATTGTATCTAGGGAAAATTTATTTTGATATATTCAAAGTATTTGTGGAACTACTTTCTTTTCCATAATTATTAATTTTTCTATAAAATCAGAGTTTTTCCTTACATGCCTTAATATTTTCCAATGTTTTGATTAATATCCTTATTATCAGGAAAAAACTTAGTATTAATTTCAAAAACTATTTTATTTACTTTTTATTTTTTTCTTTAATCATCCATGTTCCAGGTATGTAAATATGAAACTGGAATCCGTAGATAAGTCTAGCTGCCAGCATGGTTACCTTTAAACCAAATTATTGGAACTGTTTTGTTTCTTTGAAAGCTGACAAAGATTTTAAATTCACAACAAAACAAGTTTTATATAATAGCATGTATCTTTGGTTACTAAATAAAGAAAACTGCTACAGAATCACATCAAATGCTCGTCGAAGGTTACAGTACGTATGTTCCTGGTATATCACAGTAGTTTGGGTTGGTTAAAAAATTTAGGCTTTTTAATTATGTAAGAAATGAAGAATGGATCAGAAGGATGTGATCTTTTATGGGCTGTTAAAACCTACTGAAACCGTTATTCCTGAAAGCTATCAACAATAAATGATCGATTTGAATCAAGTATTTCATTAAAAACGATCAGAATATCAAAAAAGACAACAAAGTGATTTTGCTTCATGAAAATTACATAATTATACATATCATTGGGAGGTGAAATAGAAAAATCCTCCTTATATCATGGAACTCCTCATTCTACGTTCCTCTATCCACTCTCTTAATACCAGATCTCAACCTATTGATTTATATATCCCTTCTTATAAAACCACATCCTTCAGCAAATCGTCATTCGTGCTACCTCCTTCTTGAATTCTTTACCTATTACCATACGGCAATCTTCATCCTTAAATTCCTTCAAACAATTCTTATTCCATCACCTACTTCATTTTCAAACTTCCGTATCTATGTAATACTTATTGGATTCTGTAATTACAACTGCTCACTAACAATTAATCGACAAGTTTCATTTAATTTATTTATTTACTTTTTCTCTGTATAGATGTAAACCATATTAAATGTACTAATGTTAAAGTGATTACTATTGTTGTTAAGGTATGATTGCGATAGAAATTGAAATTAACGTACAAATGACCTCTTTGTATTTTGTCAAACCAGACTAAGAGACCAATGTTTTGTACCATGTTATTATTATTTTTAGGGGACTTTAGCCCCAGAATAAAATTATTTTTTCATTTGTTCGTTCATTAGACACCTTAAATCCATTGAAGGAAATATGGGTGATCATTTAGGACATATTAGTCTCATCAGACCTGGCTTCATCCAACTACTATTTATATGTATCAATGAGCATGATAAAGCATTATTTATATCACTTACTCAGCAGTTTCACTTCTTGTACTTCTTTACTCCATATAAAGTGAATGAAAATGGCTTGATGATTAGTTCATTATTTAAGAGCAACAGTTTCTAGCATGACATTCATAAATTGCCAGATAAATAGGGAAAATGTGCAGCTAACAATAGACAATATTCAAATAAAATATTTAAATTTTGGTCCCACATCCTTCAAATGAGCAACTCTGATGAAGGCTGAAACGTTGGCAAAAAGGAAATAGATATGATTTATTTATACTTTGTACTTATTGCGACTGCAATCCCCAACCATTTTCTCTTAACAATTATCTAACATCAAAAATATTTAAAACATATGTATGCAATGAACGTGCATTTTCTATAAAAAAATTTCAATATCATATTTACACACCTGGTATATATATTATCCTTCATTTAAAATTATATACTTAAATTAAAAGAAATACTGTATTGATGTTATCAAGTATGTTATTTAAATGAAGACGCAATATAATATATATGTTCTATTTCTTCTCCAATTTAGCCTACAGGACTCAAGTCTACAATATATTTTTATTTGAACCTTTTGGAGATAATGTTTCCCTTTCTTCAGCATTTAATATGTCCCAGTATTTTTGGATAAATAAAAGTAATAATACTAATTTGCTAAGCTCAGTTAAAGACTTCATTATAATATATTTTGCAATTGGAAATCATAGAGAATATATGTGCCAATTATTCGCACAGGCCAACTAATATATTTGAATATTTTAACCAAATTTTCTAATTTATTAAAAAAAAAAAAAAAATCAAAACAGAGTTTAAATTAAGTTAAAATAGGAACTACCCATCTATCACTACTTACTCATTTTTTATAACATCTTATCTTCACAAAAGAAATGCCTTCTTTATTTCAAAATAATGAACAACAAAATTTCTTAGTTGGGAATCAAGGAAGGATATAAAAAAAATAAACCAATTACAATGTTGTTTTTAAAAATAAACTAACCAAAAATTTTGTTAGCTCTGTGGAACACAGTTGCTTCAAGGAAGTCATCCACTAAGTCAGTAGAGAGATGTGCCGAAAAACCCCACACAAACAAAGTTCGTTAAAAATATTAATTTTCTAAACAATAAAGCTATGAGTAACTAAAAAGCAGGTGAACAGAAATTTTCTGCATACGAAGGTGGTCTGCAAAGTTTCCGACTGCAAATAAAATCAAGTGAATTTCGTTGTTCATCTGTTAACACTTACACACCAAAGTTTCAGCCATTTTGGATGCGCAGTTTTTATATAACAGTCGTTTGAGTGAGTTGATGTGAGTGTTTTTGTGAAAATGGACAAAATCGAGTATCGAGCTGTCATTAAATATTTGTTTTTGAAAGGTAATACACCTACGCAAATCAAAGATGAGTTGGATTCTTTGTATGGATACTCTACACCATTTTAAACATTGAAAACACTGTAATTGTTTTGTTTTTTCATATCACCGTGGACGATTCCAGACTGAGAATGTATCTTAATCGATTTTCATACACCATATAAAATAATAACAGATATTCTTCAAAGTTCAGTGAAATCATCTCAATAATTTACAATATTTTTGGTGATTATATCTACTTTTCTTTTGTGAGACATCTTGTCAATATCTTTATCGTTTATAGTTTACCTAAATATTTATTACTAAAACAGGGAAGTAACGTTTTCTTAAATTGGATACTCCTTGTTAAGTATGATTCAATAACCTTGAAAAGAAAATTTCCTTTAGACAACAGAACACAAATTGCTGGATAAAACGTAATTCAAACAGAAGATAAAAGAAATGAAGTCATTACCTTGTTCTTGGCCTTGGAGGATAGTTCCTAGGAGAATCCGAATCGACGGGAGGAAGGTAGAAGTTCGTTTTCGAACCATGCCTATGAAGAGGCGGAGTGGGTTCGCAATCTTGAGATTGTGAAGCTGATGGCTCCATTATTTCATCAACTACATCTCGCCCAGGCGATAACTGAAAACAATAAAAAAATGTAATATTTAAAAAAACAATCATTAACATTTAAGTTTAAAAAAACAAAACATGCAATACATAAAGTTGCCTTTCATATATATATATAGTAGAATCTCTGGATATCTTACATCGTCTCACTAAAAGGGCTAAGCTGTACCGAGGAATATATGTTCGGCTAAACTCTCTTATAAGTAATATCTTTTGTATTATTCTACGCTGCGGTCACTTCGACCATTCTTTTCCAAGCAGAATAATTTTTCATTTGTGATTGCAATTTCAATTAACCCTTTAGGTGCGCAAAGCCCATATAATGGCTCGGGTAGGCTGTGATGCCAGTGCCTAATGCTAAGACAATGCCACTGGTGTGCAGACCCAATATATTATCTTCAGCTTTTTATTGTTTAGTTGCGCAAAACCAATACTCATCCTCATCACAGAGCTCTCCACCGTGTACTCTATGAGTCATAGGTTGTTGTTGTAACCACTGGATAGCGTGAGATGTATTATTTAGTGGCGAATATCCTTTAGGGTGAGGTGTCGAACCTAACCTCAACACTTTGTATACCTGCTTCCATAGCTTTTTCACTTTTTCTTGTCTTTCGAACACAGTTAAGCTCTAAAACTAACAACGATTGGTAATGTTTTGAAGTTCAAAAATCAAAAATGAGATTGTTTTTTTTAATTTTCTTTTTTTAAATAGAAGTACATGTAATAAAATTTTTCATACAATGAAACATTTTCTAATTTTTCATTCATGATAATCAAACATTATCAAAAATTGGTTAATAATAGAAAAGGTTAATAAAAAAAATGTGGTGCCCGCAACACACAACTTTTACTTACTGCTCAACTTTGAATAGAAATTATTTTCTGGACATGTTGGGCTATTATAAAAATTCTTAATTGCGTTTTCAACCGAACTAAAGCTAAACGATTACAGCTAACAAATCTAAAACACCATTAAAATAACAAAAGTCCTATTTATTATATCACCGGTTGATTATGGATTGCACGATTATTAGTTATTAAACTGTTATTTTCCATTGCAAAGTTTACTAAAACTTTGCAGAGATTTACATTGTCTGTCATAGACAGGTCAAAAGTTGTCATACTAATTGAATGTGGATACTGTTGAGATATCGCAAAAATTCATCAAATTATTAGGGATTCACTAGACTTTCAGTGCCCCTCGCACACGGGTTCTGGCCTTGATTCAGGCTCCACACAACTGAAGGGTTTGAGCAAGTTTAAAACTCATTATAACTCTCCCGAATTCCACAAAATTTACAGTAAATTCTCGACATATTCCCAAATTTTCCGACTGGTATACGTTCTTATGTAATACCCAAAAAATTGCTCTTGATAAAAATTTAATTTAATTCTTTAAAATTGAACAAACATGAAAACATTTCAATCTTTCTACACACCAAAGTTTTTATAAATTAATTTTATCTTTAAAAGAACCTTTATATTTTATATAAACAGGTTCGACTGTAGTAATAAATGATATTAAAAATTTTTTAGTTCAACATAACCACATTTCCGATTTTAAATAATATGCTTAGTTCTCAAATGACTTATTACTAGCTGAGGTACTTTACAATATTCTAATCATAGTCACATGGTATCATAGTAGTCTTCATGAAAATAAACAGGCCTAGAAAATTTTATTTAGATAATTAAATATCTATAGAGAATAAAACAAAAAAGAAATTACTCAAAATGCTTCCCTTTTGGCTTGACGCAGGCATTCTCCGTGGTCACTCATTAATAGCAGCACGCAGCATCTCTTGAGGAACTGCTTGGACCAGAGATTGTTTGAGGCTTTCCAAGTTAGGGCATTCACTGTGGCATGCCATCCTCTTCAGCTCGGACCAAAGCCGATAATCTAGTGGGTTGAGATCAGGGCATCCTGAGGGCCGATCCGAGGCAGAGATAAACTCTGGAAGTTTTTAGCGGCTGTTTTAACTCCTTTTTCACAAAAATGGAGCTTTGTGGTGCTATCAAAGCAAACTCCCCATCAAACCATCACTTAGGAAGGGTGATAACATCTTTTCACTCTTCCAATGACATGATCATTTTGTATCAATTGTAAAAATTTTCTCATTGCTATACAAAATCTTTCGATGAAGATCATTGGTGTAACAGCCAAGGAGCACTATGCATCTATCCACTCTAATTTTTTTTTTAGGTAAGTTGTTAGCCTTTGTCCTGTCATTTTTCGAAATGCCCCCATCCTAAGGCCACTTTTCACTATGTGAGACATTGACCTGACAGAGATTTCCATTTCCCGAGACATGAATTGTTTTCGAATGGGATTTCTTCTGAGTCAAGCAGCCAGTGCTCTCACTGCAATTGCCATTCTCACAGTGCGGGAACGACCCAGTCGAGGTCAGTCACATACAGATAGGGTCTCATTATATCTATTTACAGTGCGGTACACGAAGATACGGCTGATACCTAAAGGTTTCAAAGTGTTGAAAATCTCTCACCTACATTTTCTAACTTTGTGTAAGGCGATCACAGCTATTTAGTTTTCATTATCAGCCTACTCAATGTTAACTAAACAAAAAAAAATTACAAACTAATTGGGATTATTATCCTGACATGCAAAGAAAATAACCTGATAGATATAAGGATTATCTAAATAATACCCAAGGATGTAAACAAAGTTTGTAACAGTATTTATGGCAGAACTAGGCATAATCTAAGTTTACAAACTAACAATATGAATTAACTACACTTCTATTTCTAACACTAGCAAACTGAACAAATAGCCTGCAGAAGATTCTAGGCTGAACTAGACAATTCCTTTGAATCTCATTGGTGTAAACTATTAGCAGATTTTTAAATTATTTACAATGAATCAATACTTCAATGCCATGTAGATCTCTTGGCTAATTTCTATTGTTTTTAGAACTCTTGATATCTAAAACCAGGAGTCTTCAAACTCTATGGCCCGTGGGCCACATTGCGATCTCCTTTAAGTCATGGCTAGCGATGAAAAGAAATCTTGTTCAATTTTAAGGGAAACAACTCATGCAATTAATGTTGTAGTCATCTCGTGTTTGAGTGATTTATTAAATTTCATATTTTTTAAATAGTTTTTAAAATGTTACCATGTAATCATAGAAATTTTTGCGGGCTGGCTCGGGTGTTCTTGCAGACCATAGTTTGGAGACCCCTGTCTAAAACCATTAAAATACCAAATTTAACAACTTATAGCCATAATTTAAAAACAAATATTACAAATAATTCATTCTGAATAAATACACGCAAAAATCACTACTACCTAGTTCTGCCATAAATACTGTTACAAAAGTTGAACTTTGTTTACATTCTTAGGTATTACTTAGATAATCCTTATATCTATCAGATTATTTGCTTTACATGTCAGGAATAATCCCAATTGGTTTGTATTTTTCTTTGAATCCGTTAACATGGAGTGCGGTGATAAAGAAAACCGAATAGCTGTGATCGCCTTACACAAAACTGGAAAATTTAGATCAGCGATTTACAACACTTTGAAACCTTCGGGTATCAGCCGTATGTTCGTGTACCGCACTGTAAATAGATATAATGAGATCCTATCTGTATGTGACAGATATCAACCGGAATGGCCATTCCCTGCACTATGAGAACGGCAAATGTAGTGAGAGCAGTGGCTGCTCTAATCAGAAGAAATCCCATTCGAAAACAACAAATCATGTCTCGGGAAATGGGAATCTCTGTCAGATCAAAGTCTCGCATAGTAAAAAGTGGCCTTAGGATGGGTGCATTTCGAAGAATGACAGGACAAAGGCTAACCATTTCCCTAAAAAAAATTAGAGTGGATAGATGCATACTTGGCTGTTACACCAATGGTCTTCATCGAAAGATTTTGTTTAGCGATGAGAAAATGTTTACAATCGAAGAAAAATTTAATCGTTAAATGATCAAGTACGAACACAGCTTTAAAGAAGCCGAGGAAGTCATTGGAAGAGTGGAAAGAGGTCATCACCCTTCCTATGTGATGGTTTGTTCGGGAGTTGGCATTGATGGGACCACAAAGCTCCATTTTTGTGAAAAAGGAGTTAAAACAGCCGCTAAGAATTATGAGTATGATATTTTGGAACCTTTTGTCAAACCTCTAAATGATACTCTGTTAGCTGAAAGTCATATGTTTTTTCAACAGGATTCCGCTCCAGTTCACAAGGCCAGGTCAACTCAGCAGTGGCTGCAAAAGAACATTTCAGAGTTCATCTCTGCCTCGGATTGGCCCTCAGGAAGCCTTGATCTCAACCCACTAGATTATCGGCTTTGGTCTGATCCGAAGAGGATGGCATGTCACAGAGCACACCCTAACTTGGAGAACCTCAAACATGGGGACATTTTGAGTAATTTCTTTTTTGTTTTACTCTCTAAATATATAAATTTTATTTTATAATGAAGTTTTTGAAAAAATAAATTTTTCTGTTGAAATCTGTGTATATTTCCTTGTAACAATATTTATGACAGGACTAGGTATGTATACAAAAAAAAAAAAAAAAAAAAAAAAAAAAAAAAAAAAAAAAAAAAAAAAAAAAAAAAAAAAAACACTGACGGACTGCCATACAACAACCGTGAATGGGAGTGCACATAGTTTCTTTATGAAGTCTAACAAAATCCACCACCTGTGTTCTGGAAACTGTTGAGTATATAATCATGATCTGCACAGCATTTGACGTATTAAGGACGAGAACCATGGGAATTCACGTTTTTCGAAGGAGGAACTTTTTCAATTGATAAGTGTAGAGAATTTCATAAATGAATGAGATGGTAAAGGTTCTATCCGTCTACAACAATGGAACCTGAAAGAGAAGAAGAACCAGAGCCGGAAGACTGCTTGATGAAGTAATTCCCCCTATCAATGAAAGTCTTTGTAACGGAACACAAGAAGCTGTATGCACATGGTTTAAACTTACAGGAATATGTCTTTATATATTAATTTATAAATTTCACTGATGCTAACACCCATATAGTCAAATAGGCAGAAGAGAGTAGAAAATAAATAAAAAAATCTGGTGCGCGCATCACATGACTTTCACTTACCACCTCTTCAAAGCAGAAATGAGTATTTTCAGACAAAGGGGAAATAAAAGTAAAAATTATTGACGCTATATTTATTTACAATTCATAGTGGGTATTTTTATTTGTTTAATAAATACCCTTATAAATACAAATTTTAATTTTTATATCGCTGTATAAAAATTATAAAAGTTTAATTCTATACAATTAAATATTAAATAATAACAACGATAGCATTTACGAAAACCACATATGTATATGAACATAATATTATCGGAGTAGGTATTATATGAAGCTCATGTTACGGATGGAAGCCTGTTGTAATCTTTCGGACAAGCTTGTATTCCTATGATTCCTCTACTACAATTATTCGTTACGATCTCTTATTTCACTTCAAATTCTTTCATATTTTATATTTAATTATTTTTTTATATTAAAGATTAATGTGAAATGGTAAATTATTTCAAATAAAAAAAAATAAAGATACTTCAGAGAAAGCTAAAATTTAAAATTGGCTATTTAAGTCCTGATAGAGAACATCAATGAGAATAAAACATACATTATATTATAAACTGCTTAATAATACACTAATATACTGAGTTTAATAAAAATCATTAAAGCCGTTTTTGAGAAAATCGTAAAAAGTGTTAAATCGATTATATAAAGTACACACACACCAACCGCGGGACTTGGTTATTAGTACTCAGGAGACCTCAAAAAATGTATTTCAGTTGAAAACTCAAAATCGAAAATGTTCATAATCACAATGCTTACCCTTACTATATATTGCATATATCGGTAAGTGAAAGTAAAAATGTAAATACTTACCCTTACTATATATTGCATATATCGGTAAGTGAAAGTAAAAATGTAAATACTTACCCTTACTATATATTGCATATATCGGTAAGTGAAAGTAAAAATGTACAAGTTAAAAAAGTACCAAAATAACTTAAAACAAACAAATAAAAGAAAAGCAAAAAGCATGTTAACAGCCTGTCTACTTTTCAATTCACTGATAACTAGATCTACAACTGCATTTTTTTTTCAGACTGAGTGCAAATATTTTAATAATTTTAAGAAAACTAACCCTCATAACAAATCATATTTTGCAGTTTCCATCAAGGTAAAAATAAGGTACTGATGTATATATTTTCTAAATATTAATTTAAAAATGATGCTTGAATAAATTACAAATAAATTGTTTCCAGCATTATAAAAACTGAGAAATTCACTTCATTCACAACTTCTCTAAATGTTTATCTTGATTATAACTATACAGCGCTACTGGATAAAGCTCATCTAAAACTTGTAAACAGAAAATAAAACTAATGGAGTAAAAAACAAACGTACATCTTTGTCTTGAAGTTGTTCAGCACTCGAATTCCCTTGCTGCACGACATAAAATTAGTATCAGTTATATCATGACAGTTTTAGAAATTATGTGCAATTACAAAAATAAAATAAAATGATAATGACAAGGAACCCATTCATGTTTAGTTGCAATTACATATATATATTTCTGAAATTAATATAAATCTAATTTTAATAATCTTGATAAACTAAAAAATTAATAATACAAGAGTATAAATTAATTTATAAACATTTGTGTGTATATATACGTATGTGTGTGCCTGTATAAGTATAAAAATAAAACAAGATAATAGTATTTAATTATAATAATTTATCATGCAAATTTTATTAACCACAAAAAGTTAAATTTAAGTAACATTTGAGCCAAAGAACAGTGAGCCCATAAATAGACTGGAATTTTTAAATAATTACATCTTTAAGGGGAAGCAATCAGAAAAAAACATATAACCTGGCTCTCAAAAAGGCAATTAGAACACTTAGAACCAACCTGGGAGGAAATATCTATAGCAGGGTTACTCAGCACATGGCCTATGTAGACGATGTAGGATCACAGCGCTCACACTATCAGCCCTTTCAGGAGTGCTGGAAGAGTTTGAAAATAAATTAAGTTAAAATGGAATATATGAAGACGCCTAGAAATCAATTAGGTCAGGAAGAAGAAGTGCAAATTAATGGGCACAAATTCAAGCGCTGTAAGAGCTTCAAATATCTAGGATCTCGAATAACAGCTGGTAGCAGATGCTTTTTTGCGCATAATAAACTGCTTAAATTTCAAGTATTGTTTTGTAAGACAAAAATAACCATATACAAGAGAATAATTAGAGTGGTGGTGACATATGGAAGTAAGTGCTGGCTAATGACCAAGAACAGTGAAACGATTCTGAAGGTTAGGGAGAGAAAGATCCTCCGAAAGATATTTATAAATAAGGATAATCCAGTAAGAAAAGGAGAAATGAAAATTCCAAAATATTTAGAAGAACAGCTTCTGAAAGTTCCACCACACACAAAAATCAAAACAAAGATTCTAAAAAATTCCACACAAAAATTAAAATAAAGAAAGAGAACTAATGGTGGATAACCAGTGACAGATCCAACTTAATCAACCGATTTCAACGAAACTAATCCATACTTCACCTTTAGTTAACCAATTATTATTAACTAATTAGTAAAAATAATTAAAATTTTCCTTAGATTTACAAATTCCAAACTCACCTTATTGTACGCGTTCGGATTGTTTCCTCGAACGCCATTACTCGTGTCCATGTACGTTTTCACCTGCTGATTTTCATGAGCAGCAATCATTGCGATGGCAGGGCAGTCTTTCTTCTTCCCCACGTAACGGTTTGGCTTTAACAAACTATCAAATTCCATTATTGAACTGTTTAAAATAAATAACCTAACATATTGTAAATACAATAGATAGCCTTCTAATTCAGACAAGCAGAACACAATACAATTCGATGGCATTATTGTGTAAAAAATAAAATAATTAAAATTTCCATATCTTAGTATAAGTTAGTTATTATTAAGATAATTCATATATTCAATAAAACTCGTCATTTTTTTCATTTCCACCTCCTTAACAGGTGTCTTGTTAAGATACAATTTTGAATAATAGCCCATTACAGAGAAGAAACGCTGAACAATTCCTTTGCTAACAGTATGCAGATCCGATTTTTAGTTTCTGAAATATTTTAATCCATATCTTCAATAAAACCCATTATAATTTGGTTTTCAACACTATTTTTTCTCTTTAAGTCTCTCTAACATGGTGCTGCGTGAAGATACAATTTTAAATAATAGCTCATTACAAAAAGGATGAAATGATGCACATATTCATCGATAACAATATGCAGGTCCAATTTTTAGTTTTTGGGAAATTTTAATCCATAAAAATTTATCCGTTTAATCCATAAAAATTTAATCCATTAAAAAACACTTCCACAAAAATTCACCTAAAGAAGTTTTCGCTTCAATAAACATGAACTAGAAAATGACCCAACATTCATGATAAAGGCTCGTGCACGCTGAACGCAATACATACTGGTGTTCTACGATCCCTTTATCTGTATGGCTGCAAATTATAATCGCACTCTGTGAGACTATGATAATTGAATAGAAAGTAATACAACTATATCTCCAGGACATATCGTGTTCTGTATCCACCAGCCTTTAATGAATGTTATATTTTGCTTGAACAAAATATTTCTTTGAATATTTACCTCGGGAATTGAGGCCCACAAAGAGAGTAGAAGCAATTAGTCCAGCAACCTTGAGAGAAGGGATTATAACCTCCTCTGAATTTGCCAGTAACCTGCTCATTCGTGGTTCTTCCCCTTGCGACTAACACTATATGGAATCCAGTTAAACCAAAGATTGGTATAAAAAGTAACGTGATAATACCTATAATAACAACACTAAAATTCACATTAAGGAATTATATTAGTATTCAGATAAAAATGAAGAGATATCGTAAACATACTATTTTTTTTTTTAAATATTGTAATAATTATAATAGAGATTGTGTACATTAAACCATTTCTCTCTCTTTTTTATGTTAATAATAAGTTTCTTCATTAAACAATTATTTCGATCTTATATTATTAAGTTTTCTTTTCTTGTATACATGTATTGTTTTTATCAGATAAATTATCTGTATATATACACTGACAGGCAAAAAATTCCACCCACTTGATTTTTTCATGTTTTCATCTAAAAATATTTCTTCTTTGGATTGGTCTATTGTTTTTAATGAATAAATAGGTAATCTTTTTGTTTGTTTTCAATTAGGAATGTTAATATAGACGACAATAATCCTTAATTCAATGAAATGATTTTAGATTCCAATGTTTCTATGGAATCAAAATGTTTATTCAGTATCATTAGTTCAGTGCCATTTCTTAGTCTCTCCGGCTTTTAATTTTTTCAATATTAAGTTTAAAAATGTCTCTTAGTGCTGAGAATGTTGCGCGTGGTGTGGCACTTATTGATGATGGACGTTCCATCATTAGATATGCAGCTAATACCATCGGAGTTCCATATGAAACTTTACGAGACGCCGTTTCAGGAAACTGATTCTTACAATAGAAGGCGCGGTTCTGGACGGCCTAGGGTAACAGAACCACGAGATGACCGGTCTTGAACCGGAGATGGCTTTTCGTCCAGTAAGAGGACCAGAGTTGACCAGAACTCACAGAGTAACACGGCTGGCTTTTGCTCGAGAACACAGCCATTGGACTATGGACGAATGGAGTGCTGTACTTTTTACAGATGAGTCAAGATTTGCTCTTCGATCTCTAGATGGGCGTGAAAGGGTGTGGAGAAGAAGAAACGAAAGATATGCAGCCTGTAATTTTTCCCAGAGCCAATCTTTCCAACGTGGTTCCTTAATGGGTAACAAGTGGGTGGAATTTTTTGCCTGTCAGTGTATAAACTGTAATTATTTACTGGCAAACCTTAGAGACTAGAAAAATACTGAACTATTCACAATGTTACTATTCAAATTTAATTATAAAAACTATGTAGACTGGATATATTATGCTTGAAATATAGAACAATATACTTTTAACAGTGAGGAAGTACTGTTACAAGGCCAACGGTTATGCAGGCAAGTGACGGGCCAATATCACATGCTCAACCGCCAGGTTTCTCCCCTGTATTAATTATTTAATTAAGAGTACCCACTTTATAGACACTGAGTTTACCCTAGGAGGGTCACTGGAATATAAACAAATTTTAATTTTTATAATACAATAGTCTATATCAAATGTGGGGAACCCCTTATATTTTATTGTTGCTTTTTTTATTTATCACTAAATATACACATATTCAATTAGATTCTATTAACTTTCAAATTTTTTTAACTTAAATAATGAAACATTAATTAATTCTAGTGTTAGATTAAATCCTTAAAAAAAAAAAATCATTGCTTTTTAAACTGATTAACTAATTAATAATATTTCAATTAAGTATTAAAAGATTTAATCAATAAAATTTTATAATTTGTGTATTATATAGGAAATTAAGGTAAATTTAGAAATAATTGATTAAATTTGACCTTTAAAAAAATATTTTAATTCAATTATATTTTAAATAAAAACAAACAGTTTTTAAATATTTTTTTATTACCTATTAACGAATTTTTTTCATAAATGCTGATTACTAAAATAAACAACTGGCAAAGAAAATGTGATAAAATTATATAGAAGTTTAATTTTAAATATTAACATTGAGTGGTGTATTACATAATATTTATACACTTTTAATTCAGTTTCACTTTTTATTTTTTGTTACATGGTGTCTTCAGTGCATTGCACTATATTCATCTATTTCTAATCCGAACCCATTTATTTGGAAGTTGTTCTTTCAAAAATTATTTTTCTTTTTAATCACTGATTGATTGATTTTCATAATGTTTTGTTAAAAATCTATAATATTAGAGAAGAGGAGATTTTTCATCCTTACCAGGTCATAATAATATAGGTTTTTAACAAAGTGCTACCAGTGGGTAGTTTCTCAAGAAGTGATTTCATGTTATTATTTTCTGTTATCAAACTTACTAAATGTATTTTATTTATTAATATAGTTGTAAATATCATAAATAAAAAAAGAAGAAAAAAAATATGAATACGGAATAACACACAGAAAGCTCCATGTAGCGAAAAAATAAAATGAGACTGAATTAAAATGATATTTTTCTGTATTTAAAGAGACTTATAATTAAACAAAATAAATACCTTTACATAGCAATAATAATTTAAAAAACAAAAACAATTTTTCATAATAAATAAAAATCTAAACAAAAAAATTTGTAACATACAGGTAAATTATTATTATTTTTTTTTAAAAAAAAGGATACGAAACAATAGTAGTGACTTCAGTCAATCGCTCTTTGTTGAACAGCACATAAACCAAACAAAGACCGAAGATGGAAGCCATATGTATGCTAAGGGTCACAAGGAAAAAAAAGAAGTATCTGTAGTTGCGTCTTCCAATACAATTATTGACCCATGGACAATGGTGATCAAACGTCTAAAAAAAAAAAATAAATAAATAACAATAACTAAAAACAAAATTTATTTGAATTCACAATCATTTTAATAACAGTGAAGTGGTTGAGCGAGAAGCGCTGGAATCTCCTGGATCCTCGCTTTTCCCTCCACAAGTGGGAGGAAAAGCTTGACGTGGAGTTCCTCTGACATATTGTAATAGTGTATATATATATATATATATATATATATATACACTATTTAGTGTATATATATATATATATATATATATATATATATATATATATATATATATATGTATGTATATATATATATATATATATATATATATATATATATATATATAAGTACGCCTGTGTCTAAGATGTTTATTTTACTTTTTTTATTTTATTTTGTTAGAGATGATGATGGACCAAAAAAAAATGTTGGGAGTTTTTATTATGTGTAAACATAATTGTTGTGAAACGAACAAATATAATATTGGATATTTAAAATTGATTTGTTCATAATATAAACATGCTATTGTCAGTGGTACACAGACCCCTTTTTATACAATTATTAACATCCGGCTGAAACTTCGTAAATATTTTCATCTCATCGTAAAACTACAAATATTTTATTTACAAAAATTCTCGGAATTGGGGCGTTTTCAATCTGGAGGTCGGCATATTTTGTCTATTTAATTAGGTAACTAAAACTAGTAAATACCCATTTTCTTTCAACTTGTAAGATAACTTGAGCAAAAAGACCAAGAAAAATGTGGCCTTCAAAAATATTGAGCTGTTTGGCCTATATAACCTCGTTATTTTGATAATTCGGGGTTGTAGGTCATGCCAAACAGCCCAATATTTTTTAAGGTAACCTATTTCTTGACTTTGTGCTCAAATTATCTTACGATTCAAGTGAAAAGCAAATGAATATTTACGAGTTTTCAGTATCTAATTAAATAGACAAAGTTTGGCGACCTCCAGATTGAAAACGACCCAATTCCAAGAATTTTTGTAAATAATTTGTAGATTATGATGAGAAGAAGCTATTTAAGAAGTTTCAGCCGGATGTTAATAATACGATAAAAAGGGATCTGTATGACGGACTATTATGTATAGCTGTAGGGATATATATATTTTTTTTTTTTGTTTTACTTATTACATATACTTAGAAATATCTTTAAAAAAAAAATTAAATATATTTAACATATTCTTTTTTATTAAAAACATGGGGGAGGAGGGGGGAGAGAGAGCCTTCACAGCATTGATACATTTTTAGAACTTTTACCAGCTAAAAATAAATAATGAAAAATATCTTTGTTTTCTTGTGTGTACAATCTCAAATAAAAACACATTTTCCACAGTCTGACTAATTTGTCGCGGAAAATGTGATGAGAATTTCACGTGAAAATTGAGGGGCGATTGAATCATAAAATCCTAGGATATGTTGATATATATTATTATCTTTGAATATAAATGAAAATTTAAATATAAGTAACATTTAGGTATCGATAAAATAGTTATAGACGTACTAAAATGGACTCTAGCCTAGCCAGCTAGTCGATTTTTCTTAAATGATTTTAGTTTATACATTTTATTCATTCCTATAGCTTATTTATTATTGATTTTAATTTTCTTTTTTTACCTCATATTATTAGGAGCGTGAAACGATATTATCGCCTCAACATTTTTATTGGATCGACTCCCCTCCTCCCCCAGAGTCTGCGCCTATGATTGCTATTACTTTAATTATTCATTTTTCCGTAAATATGGTGTGAATGTTCTCTCTGATCTCTATTAAAAATTTTCTTAATATAATATTTTTCAATAAACAAGTAAAAAAAAAATTTCAATCATTTCCTCTTTTGTCAGGATTCCATTTTATAAAAAATAAAATCAGGTTAGATGAATGGCACTAACCAAAAAATGTAAAATTAAATTAAAAAAAAAAAAAATAGTGGAGACATATAAACTTACCTCGATACAATGATTACAAACACTACAGTGAGAACAACGCGGAGGGCGATAGAATTTACAGGTTACACACCACTTCATCCGAACCGTGATACCATTTATTTCTGTATTTTTATAAAGTGGTGATCTTAGATCATCTTCCCTGTCTTCGTCAGGTGATGCTGTAAACAGAGGAAAAAGTAAATACGTAAACTTAAGATAAAAAAATTAAGATATATACAAATCTAGAAAAAAAAAATGTAGTACATAATTATTGACTATTTAGACAAATATTTATATTTTAAAATTAAATCTTTGCTTTAATTACTATTCAGTAAATTTTTAAATGAATTTACTCATATTTCATACATGTATTCAATATTAATTTATGTGCTTTTCATTATTAACCATTTCCTTCTACGACTATATATTCTCATTACTTATTTCTTCTTCTTCGTTCTCTCCATTCAGGCTGTCCAGTGGGTCATATTATTATTTACCTTGCTTTATTGATATGGCACCATTTGTCAAAAATTCAAATAGTTGTCACATTCATTTTATATTTTTTTGGTGTTACACATCTTTTCTTATTCATTGTTACACTAACTAACATCTGGCTATCTTCAGTTTCATTACTGTTCTTTGTACCTGTCCTTTTATTTCTTACTATGGCTTTTTTTTGTAAATGATGTGTAAGACAAAAAAAAAAAAATATATATAAAATTAATGTGACAAATATTTGAATTTTTGACAAATGGTGCCATATCAAAAAAGCAAGGTAAATAATTGTACAATAGATGAAGTAGATTGGTACTGTAAAAATAGTTTATTTAAAATGTGCATAGTTTCAGTGAAGATAAGGATTGCTCTGATGATGGGAAAATTGTCCCGAAATGTTAGAGATAATAAATTTAATTAAAGGGTATTTGGATTTGAAAGAAATTGGAAGTATTAATGCCTTAACTATGAAAATATTTCAATTCAATTATATTTTATATAAAAACAAACAGTTTTTAAATATTTTTTATTATTATCTATTAATGAAATTATTTCATAAATGCTGTTTACAAAATAAATAATTGGCAAAGAAAATGTGACAAAATTAAAAAGAAGTTTAATTTTAAATGTTAACATTGAGTGGTGTATTACATGATATTTTTAGACTTGTAGGTATGTTTTGAAAAATAAAATATTTGAAAAAGACAAGCAAGGTCAAAATATCAAATTAAATTAATTTTCTTTTTTAAATAGAACATAAAAGATTTCTGTTTATAAAATATGTTGTGAGGATATTACAGTCTTTCAAAATCTTAAACTAATTGATTAATATTATAAATAAAAATATACCTTTTGGAATCACCCCCGGATCCATAAAAGTCGCCAATGTAAAATTGGCAAGTACGAAGAATGTAATAATCCCTTGGCATGCGGGTACCCATGGATATTTAAAAATGAAGTACTGGCACCTAAAAACAGGAGAGAAAATTGTATGTTCAACACTGCTTAAATGTTAATTAAACAAAGTTACAATTTAATAAAAATATGCTTATTTCCCTTTTAATAAACACTGTGATACTTGCACAGATGGGCATAATCATAAACAATAATTACGATTACGTGATTATGATTGTATCAGGTAATCATGTCACAGTTTTGCTGTACTAATAGTGCTATTGAATCGAGTATAAAATTGGCATTGTCATTAAGTTTTGTATTCAGTTGTAATCATTGATTCCGATTTTGCCAATTTCAGAGTACTTAGATGGTAAAAATTTGAACCACAATATAAATCAAGTGATAAAGAATTTAATAAGATTGAAATTGCATTTTTAATTAATAAAAAAAAGAGTTATATTTAGATAATAACTTATAATAGTTCGTCAAGTAATTATGGTGGAGATTGGAGAAGGTTCCCTAGTGTAATAAATAATGGTAGTACTGTCGGTGTACAGTTCCTAAAGAGTTCTAAGGAGGATATTTGGACCTGTGTGAGAGGATAATGGGTTAACAGCGAGAAAGAAATCCGAGCTGAAAGAACTATTTCCAGAAGCGGACATAGTTAATGTCATAAAGCAAAGAAGATTGAGTTGGCATGGACATGTCGAAAGGATGCCTATGCCGAGATTGATTAGGCAAATGCTGTACGGTCATCCTGGTGGCTCACAAAGGAGAGGTAAAGCTCGTAATCGATGGCTGGACGATGTGGAAGAGGACTTCTCCCAGCTGAACATCAGGCGATGGCGAACTAAAGGAAAAGATAAAGCAGAATATTGGAGAAGGCTTTAGTTCTTAATGGACCGTAACGCCATGCAGTAAGTAAGATTGAAATTGCATTTTTAATTAACAAAAAAAGATTTATATTTAGCTAATAACTTATAATAGTTTGTCGAGTAATTGTGGTGGAGATTGGAAAAGATTCCATAGTGTAATAAATACTAGTAGCACTGTGGGTGTGCAGTTTCAAAATGTTTAAGACTAGCTTATTTATTTATTTACAAAAAATAATAAAAACATTTTAATTAAGGAAATAGATAAACCAGGATAGCGTTCATAAAAAAAAAAAAATTAACATAGTAAAGACTATTTTACTCAAGCCAACATTTTGACCCCACTATACAGGTCTTCATCAGGTCTAGAACGAACAAGAAACAAAGGATATAGAAATTGTAGGCATTACAAGATATTTAGACAGGAGCAACCTCAAGGTAGTGGTCAGGGGTTGGGAAAAAATACCACAACCCACCGACTAACTGGACTAGTTCAGTTCTGCTCTCCCTCTCTCCCCCCATACCAGTACCGATACCAATTGATGGAAGTTTTAAAACAAGAAACACTTAACCAAAATAAACAACTAAAGAGTTGATCTGGGAACTAGGAAATATTTATGTTATCTTTATGGGGCAGAAAACTGATTTGATGATTTCCTTATCCATCTTCTTCACAAACAAACTACTGGTAGGTTCCTATTACAACACTTACTAGACAAACTTTATAAACTTCCAATATTCTATACATCTGGAATAGAGTTTTAAGACTACACAAACAAAATCATCAAAATCCTACCCTCATCAATCCAAAATCCTCCCTGGAAACCTTAAAACACATTATGTCACAAACAAAATTATAGATAAAGGCATCAATATTCCCTTTGTTGCAGATTTGGGACCGAATTAGATATTCCTGTTTACATTCCAAACACATTGGTTAACTCTCTAGTTCATAAACTTTCATTCTTGACAACCCTTTGGGGCATCTGAAAAGAAGATGGCTAAGAGACCTCCTAAATTAATAATCTAATAATTGAAGTGCGACCAATGGGTAGCTTCTTCACAAGCTCCTATCATGTATATAGTTTTAAAACAAATTTACTTGTATGTATTTATTCAGTGGTAAATTTCAACAAATGTTAAAAAAAAAAATTCCATATCCTCGACAGGCCATTACAGGTCCCTGGCTTTCACAAATAACTTCAGTTAGTCTGCATATCATTGAGCAACTTTTCTCCAATCCCAATCCCGTAGGATTCTTCAAGCATTTTCAGTTATGCCTTCCATCCATTTACAGTGCATCTTGCTCTGCACCTGACGCTATGAACGCATTCATTTCTTGGATCTCACCCTCTGATATACGAGCTACATGGTTGGCCCACCTCAATCTTCCTAGCAGAATGTATCTTTCTATGTTTGATTCTTCAAGAAGGTTATAGACTTTTTTTTTCGTCTTTCCTTCCTCGTCTTTTAGGCTATACTGAGTTTTTCAGGGAGAGGACAGAGGAATTATTTTGAGTTGAAAGTCCCACCAGGCACCGATTTGAACTCATATTTTTTTTATCTCAAACTTTGGTTATAAGGTTTCAGGGTAAGGCACGGTGCTGTGCATATGCGTTAGCCCACTCAGGCACTCCACCTCCCAAACTTTTTAGTTATACATATTTTGAGTTGTGTCTTTCAGACTCTTCTAGGTCTATAAATATTCAGGCAGACCTAGATAGGATCAGTGCCTGGGCAAGTCTGAATAATTTAAATCTAAACGCGATGAAAACTCAGGCCATTATTATAGGTTCCAATTCTATTCTTAAATCCATCTCCTTCCTTCCTCCTTTAGTCATCAACGATCATCCCGTCAAATTCAGCCCCTCTGTTAAAAACCTAGGAATCACCATAGACGAAAACCTCTCCTGGAAATCCCATATCGCCCTCATCTCCCGTAAGTCAATAGGTACCCTTAAGCTATTTCATCGCTCCCACCACCTACTCCCACAATCCATCCGCAAGCTCCTTGTATCCTCTCTTATTTTCCCCCACTTTGACTACGGCTGTGTGGTGTACGGAGGCATCCCGATGGTACTCGAGGATAGATTGAAGCGACTCATGAATACCTGCTTGAGATTTGTCTTCGGTACATCGAGGCGGTCTCATGTGTCCCACCTTTACAACGAGTTAAAGTGGCTCTTCTCTTCTTTCCGCAGACAATATTTCCTTGGATCTTTCCTGTTCCAAACGATCAACACCAGACACCCTTCCTACATCTACAGTCTCCTACAGTTTAAACCCGTGGTCCACTCCCAGAAAAGAAGATCCCGTGTTTCCGACCTTTATATCCCTTCCCTTAGAACGAAGACATTTGAATATTCCTTTATTGCCCGATCCACTGCCTTCTGGAATTCCTTGCCATCTGATATCCGCCATGCCTCTTCCTCGTCCTCATTTAAATATCATCTCTACCAATTCCTTCTCACATCCCAAAATGACGTTATACAATGAAATAAATATTGCGAAACAGATTTTGACTGAGGTGAATGGTTGATAAAATTGATTGAGTTTTAGTTTTAAAAATCAACCCATGCTTACATTATTTTGTTTGTTTTTTTCATTTAAATAATGTTTTGTTGTTTTTCTAAATGGTGTTATTTTTACTGGTTTTAATACACTTTTACTGAGATACTATATATTGATATACTGAGATATTTTCTTTAATATTGATTAATGTAATTTTTGGCCAGATGTAGTTTTTATTTTTTTGTTCATAACTGTTATTCATAAGGGACCTCATCCCAGAATAAAGTTTACTTTCTATATATCTATCTATTTAAATAAACCATAGAATTCTTCTTTGGCAAATTTCGTTCATCCAACTGTGACATCACTCATGATTCTGAGTCATATAGCCTTGTCTTTTAAATGCCTTATTCAGCCATAACCTGTTTGTTGGTAGATGTTTATTTCTTCCATGTTTTCCAAGTTTGGAGTGAAATCGGTTATGTTTTTCTTCTCTCAATTTCCAAATGTGTTTATCAGGATAGCGTGTTTACTACAGAAGATCAAAGATGATAAAAGCAGAAGAAAAAAGAGAAATACACTCTAGTATATATCAAACAAAGAAGAGTAAAAACTTCTCAAGAACAAAACCGAAACTGTAAAACATAAATAACAAAGACCTCATTCCACATGGCAATACAAGAGAAGCAACAATCACAAGCCTCTGTTATCAGTGTCATCTCAGCTGAATTCCCCCGAGAACAAGTTAGAATTTGACTGAGAAAGTAGTAGAGAGGACGAGCTGTGCATAAGCCAACCAGAAGTGGAAACGTAGATAAGTAATAAAATTTTTTTAAAAAATAAAATAAGCTAACCAAATAAGGTATACAAATATTTGACATCTAATAATACAACAGTAAATACTAGATATTACTGAAAGAAATGTTCCCGCTGAATTGTTTTATAAAAAAATATGTGTAATTCTCAATTTCAATTTCTTAGAAGTGATGATTTCATAAGCTTTAAAGAAATCAACAGCTAAAAAAAAACACATCATCATCATTATTTATATCAATCAGTTGTTATTATATTATTTTGGTGACTAAAGCATAAATAAATATTTAAAAAAAAACGAAAGAATTTATTTACAAGTGCTGTACACTTGTCACAAAAATTTAATCTTTTTGATAAATTGTTTACTTCTTCTAAAGTAAGATGCGAGTCCAATAAATTATTTAAAAGTAAGGGAGGCTTGCTCCTCTTAATAAGTAAACAATATAATATTTACGTTACAATATAATATTACGAGGTATAATATTTTTTAGATAAACATTATCTTAACATCTTAAAAACATTTTTTGTTGATCAAATAAATTACTTAATAAAGATGAGAATGTTTTCAAAAATAACATGATAAATGTTAAAAAGTACAGAAATAAAATAATGAATATTGGAGTAAAAAATAATCAACTACGACTAAAAAGAGGTTAAATACAATTAAAATGAATAAAAATAAAAATAATGAGTCACTGAGAACTTCCCCACACTTATCTTTTGTGTCTAGTATAATTGACACATTTCCTTTTAAATGAATCATTTTATTAATGACATGAAAGTATGAGAGAAAGTACACAATTAAATCTCCATAAAAAATTAATATTGATAGAGAAGAAATATTTGAATACTAATTTTTAAATAAAAAAATTACAGTAAAATGTTAATTAGTTTTAATAAAATCTTAAATAAAATGAATCTTCCAAATAATCCGATACAAATAAATAGAAATACGGGCATCTGTAAAACTGTCAAAAGATATAAACACTTCTGTGAGTGATAGGAAGGCTATAAAACTGTCAAAAGTTGTAAACAGTTTGTGGAGGGAAAGAACCGAATATGAAACTATGAAACAAAACAATTTAATTAACATGATTTTTTAAAAGCAATAGAAAAACATTAAAAAGATTTGAATTTAGAACAATAACAAGAAAAATATCCTGTAGATTACATTGAAATCATAAAAAATGTTCATTATACTCTATTGGAAGGTCAAATAATGTTATAATACATATGACAGGCTCTGTAAAATGTACGAATTAAATTTATCACGTATCCAGACATCACATAAGCTGTTTTTCACATTATGTTCTGATAAGTAAAATTTACTTTCGAGCAGATATTTTGAATTTATCACTAAAGAAAATCGTATTTAAAAGATTGCCAAAGTATAATTAAAAAAAAAACAATATTTCTCCATGGTCATCCATAAACATTTTTTTTAATTACCAAATCAAATGCCAGATCACACTTGAGTTGATTTAAGATACAGTGGTAAATAGTTAATGATATGAGTTCATATTTTTTTTTTTTTAAAGACAATATGACAAATAATAAGCATTACAATCCTGAAGTTTTTTGCGAAATAAAACAATAAATACAAGCTGATTTAAAATGATGAGGAAGAATGATAAGATTCAGCTCGCTATTTCGAACTATATTGTACAATTAAAAAAGTGAACCAATGAAAAACATAACTTTCTGAATGAAAGTACATTGAAAAAAAAAAAATGATATAAATTCTAATACTTACGGAAAATAAAAAAACAAGGAAGTGGTAACAAGGAGTAACGTCCATGCAAAAGTTGCTGGGATGTATCTTGTTTTCAAATTACATGGCATTATGTTTATAAATGTAGGTTTAACCCACAAGAACCTAAATACTTATATAGGAATTAACATGGCCGCGCCTCCTTAAAGGAAGAACGACTCCTACTAAAATCACGTCTGTAAAATAACAGTCTGGAATGGCCTTTTCCTAACTCTAATTGAAATCATTACGGCTGAATACAAGTTCTCAATCAATATCATTTATATAGTTGTAACCCACACTTCCATATCTATCGCTCCTAGTTCAGAAGCTATCAACTGAGTCAGGGCGAATCGATTGTACTCGAACCGTTCAATCGATTATTGAACAATATTTATATATAGATATCGTCTTAACAAAATTGATCTATCTCTTAAATTAGTTTAGTTCAAAGAGACTTTTTTTTTATAATTTTACAAATTATTAAATATAATTATATAAACTAATAAAACATGTTTACTCATTAACTTTTTAATTTATAGATGTATTTTAGATCTATATGATGGATAAGACTAAAAAGGGAGAGTTTTTTTAAATCTTTTTTTTAATTATTTCTAAATGATATTTACAACTGTATTAAATAAATACATAAATTTGAACATATGTATATAATGACATGAAAACACTTCCTGAGTAACTACCCAATGGTAGCACTCTAATGATATGTATACATTACATCACGGGGCCATCTTCTTTTCAGACGCCTCCGAGGGTTATCAGGAATTGAAGAGGAACAAGGTTAGAAACGAGAGGGTTGAGATGATTCTGAAGTTTATTATGGAAGGATAGATATTTGGATTGGGCCAGATCTGACACAAAAGGGACATTAAGGTCAATATGGATGGTTTTATTTGTAACAAAGTAGAGAGCATTGAGGATTTTGGATTGTAAGGATTGGATACGAGAGGAATTCGATGGAGCCCCATAGCTCAACTCCGTAAGTCCAAATAGGCCTTATTATAGTCATGTATATGAGTCTTTTATAATTAATTGGAAGTTTAGAGCGTTTGTCTAGTAAGTGCTAAAGTAATCGGAAATTTCGAACGGTTTCTTGTCGTTTCAGTCTAGTATGAGATTTCCAAGTTAGTCGTTTGTCCAGATGGAGTCCTAGGTAGCGGATTTGCTCAACAGGGATAAGTGGAGTATTGTTAGTGGAAACTGTCATTGGTTTACGACGAAGAATAAAAATAATTTGATGGGATTTATTGGAGATTATTTTAATTATCCAGTTTTGACACCATTCTTCAAGATTTGTGATGTGTGATTGAAGCATTTGGGATGTAATTGATAGGTCATTATTTACTGATAGGATACATGTGTCATCGGCATATGTGGTGATGACAGTGTTAGTATAGGATGCTACCTTGAGGAACACCAGCGGACTGGGAAAGAAGGGATGAATAGGCGTGGGAGAGTTTTAAAACTGGAAATTGTACCTGTATTGGTATTTATAACTGGAATTTTCAACATTTAGAATGTGGCTGGAGAAACACAGAAAAACTTAGGATTTATCATAGAATGGATTTTAATAAAAGATCAATTTTAATGTAAGCATTGAAAGTAGAACATAGATAACATACTTTAAATATTGAGTAGTTGACCGTTGCATTATAAAGGAAGGAGATGGTCCGGTGTGGCTGTCATAAATAGGCTAAAGATTGGCAAAAGTATCTTATTAAAAGCCAACGTTTCGACCCGACTTTGCAGGTCTTCTTCAGGGAGGTGTGTTCAGCTAGGAGTTTCACTTAAAACCAAATTTCAGTTTTTAGTGAAACTCCTGCAAAGTCGGATCGTAACATAGGCTTTTTAATAAAATAGTTTTGCCACTATTTAGCCTATTTATGACCGCCACCCCGAACCATCTCCTTCCTTTAACATATCTTACTTAAAATGAAGATTTGATTACGCAAAACACTGTATTACTTATAACTACATTAAAAAAAAGAATTAAAAATAAACAAAACTAATATTTACATAACTAATGAGATTTGAAGAAACGTGTTAGTTTATTTATACCTCTTTAGGTCAAAGCCGAGCTCCACACATCTCTATCCTCACAGTCTTCCTCCTGCAGACATCGACCGGCCATCTCTTATTGGACTCCTTCCATCCACGTGGTTCTGGGTCGTCCTCGCCTACGCTTTCCGAGCGACTGCCAGTCCAGGACTCTGTTCGGCCAGTGCTCTTCCGGCATTCTCCTGCAGTGCCCATACCATCTCAACCACTGTTTCCCGATCCTCTCAGAGACGATTTGAAGAAGATTTGAGTCCGTTGAAGCTGTGATAGAGAAAGCGGCAAACGTCCTGAAGGAGTTGTTAGAAGAATACTTCTAACGCTGTTTCAACAATGGAAGATTCGCTTCTAGCATGGGTGAAGCGAGGAGCGATATATATTGAAGTAAGTAATATCTACGAAATCAAAATAAAATGTCTTGCAGCATTAGTCTCGTTAGTTAATAGCCACAAATCCTGTTGGGACGGGGTGGCCCAACAGACTAAATTGTGCAATTGTGCCTGGCAACCTGATAAATCAAAGATTACGATTTCAAATCCCGTGTCCGAGAACTTTTAACTCCGGAACCAATCCCTCGCTCTCTCACCTGGTCCGGGGAAAAACCTGTACAGCCGAAAAGGCGAGGATGAAAAAAAAAAAGTCAAACCTCTTATGTTCATTTACAAGCTTCTTTGGTTTACAATATAACTACTATACCCAAGTTTATAGGAGGCTTTTAACGTTCTCATAAGCTCCATTTGAGGTAGGAAGTGTATTATATAAGATAAACAGTTATTATCGTTGAATTACTACAAGTAAACATGACCTGCAACAACATCATACGACTGGTGTCCTACGCTGTCGTGACCCAGTCCTTTCACTTGATGTCTCGGAATCAATCGCCACCCAATGTTTTTTCTTAACCTTCGTCTCCTGACCGCTAGATATCATTGCAAGTATTCTGTCAGAAGCCTAGGATTGCATGTTTATGCATTACTATAAACGATCATTCAAGGAAAGTTGATTTGATATTATCACAGTGATATCTGGATATCAACAGATCATTTTGTTATTCGTGCTTGGTTACTATCCTCCAGTGTTATTAAGAGGGCTGGGGATTCATCGGGAAAAACTTATCTCTTACAAATTCGGAGATTCCTGTGTGATATCTTTGAAATATACAAGGCTTTTGAACCATAGTTCTGAAAAGAGGGGGAGAGGGCAGGTTGGCTGAGCGGGTTAACGCATGTACAAAGCACCGGGCGTTGCCCGGCAACCTGTAAACGAAGTTACAACTGGAAATATAATTACGAGTTCAAAGCTCGTTGCTCGGTGGGACATTTAACTCTGCATAAAAGTTAAGTGGCGAGTTGCCGGGAAACCAGATAATCGAAGTTTATCCGAGATTAAAAAAATTAAGAGTTCGCGTCCCGGTGTCGAAGGAGAATTTTAAATTCTCCACCCTTACCCTCAGGCTCGGGAAAATCCCATATAGCCTAAAAGGCGAGGTAGGGAAGAATAATAAAAAAAATCTAGTAAGTGTGTTACAGATACAGTGACATGAGAACACTAGTAGGGAAACTACCCATTGATAGTACTCTAAATCCAATATTCATAACTTTTAGACAAAAAATATGCCGTTATGAGATTGATTCAGATTGTTAGTCTCGTTCATTCTGAATAATGTTGAGATCGAAGGTAAGAAGTAGTGAGGTGTGGATAAAATATCCTTTCTTCGTGTTCAAACCGAATTTCATTTTCTTCGTCGAGCAGTGTGGCGTTAATACTGACGATTCACTATCCAAGAGGATTTGAATGATTTATAAAAATTAATGTTCACTTACCATAAGAAAACTGTGCATATAGCTGTGTGAAAAAGCCGTTGCCATAGGTAACAAAATTTTCTGGGAGGATCAGATAAATGTTTTACTTTAGTTTAGCCACTTTTTTGCCCAAAATTTTCCTTTTGTGAAATCAGCCTATGTTTTGATTAAAATGGTGCTGTTAGGAGGTTGCGGTTAGGTTAAGAGTCTTGATGGCATTGAATAATAAAGAGTTCGGGAAAATAAATTTTACAGTTCGGATAACAATATCCTTTTCTAAATTGGAGATAGGGTTGGAAGGGGTGGTTGGTCTAAAGTAATGATCTTGTTGTTTTTCAAAAAATGTGAGGCATCGCCTCGGTTTATAGATCTTTATTACCCGTACTTGTACTGCTATAGCTACTGATGGAAGAAACAATCCGGCAAGTGGGCTCTATCGTGGTCCTTTTTGCCAACCCTCGACAGCTACCTTGAAATTGCCACTACATACTTACCAGAATATGAATGTCACAATCTATTTCCCGGCGTCGCCAAGAAATTAAAAATAACCGACCCAGGTAGGAATAGAACCTAAATGTTCAGAATTGGGCTCTCTGGGATCCACGCCCCAACTTGCTCGGCTATTCCATACTCTTTATTATTCGAAGTAAAACGCAATTGATAATAGCTTAATAAGACAAAGCTTTCATAAAACATTGGCTCATCTGATGTATGTAACTTTGGCGAATAAGTGCAAGAAAATCTTGTTTTTGTTGTTTTTTTTTATTTTATTTATTTACATTCCACCCTACTTTGCCTGATGGGCCATACGGGCGTTTGCAATAGTGGGCTGTTATGCATGACTGCATAACAGCATACTACTGCAAGTGAAACAGTTTAAAATATGTTATCTTTGGTGAAGTCTTATCAAGGGTGTCCGTCTTCCGGCGGTCTTCTTGGTGGTGGTCCTCTTCTCCGTGCTCTGATGTTGAAGTGGGCTGGACCCACTGCCTCCTTCCAGTCATAAATGAATTTCTTGAACCGAGGGAAGTTCTCCTTACTTACCAACTGAGGAAGTTCATCCTCTGTTAGGACGTAAATTCCTGCGGTTCTCATCATCGTTGCCCTTATTCCTTCAAATGCAGTGCAGGCCGTGACCACGTGCTCGACAGTCTCCAGAACTCCACAAGTGGGGCATTGGGGATCTATGTCCTGGCCAAAGCCATGTAGCTTAGCTCGAAAACCCCCATGCCCCGTGAGGAACTGTGAAATCCAATAGTCCGGGAGGATCCATTGTGCATCTAACCGCGACTGTACGGTGGGGAAGTATTTTCTGAGAGTACTCCCTTTCGGGGTAGCAACCCACCGACGGCTCCATTCCTCAATCGTATCCTCCCGGATTATCTTCTTCCATTTGTTGGGACTTTCCACAATCCTCATCCGTAGATTTTGTGGAACTCCAGTCAAGCCTTCTTTCTTGAATTTATGCTTGGTCACATCTCGCAGGAGGAGGTCGAGAGGTACCGCCCCCGCTAGGACCTGCACTGCTTCATGTGACGTTTTTCTAAATGCTCTGGTGACACGCAACAGGGCCATCCTCTGGATCGACGCCAACCTTTTTCGCTGTCGCTGTGTGAGGTTCCTATACCAGGAGGGAGATGCATACCTCAAGATACCCAGCACAACACCTTTATAGATCGTCATCGTTGCGGGGTATCTGAGTCCCCAGAATGCACCCCCAACACGACTGAGTCCGTTCAAGGCTTGGGTCACCTTAGTTGCTAGATAATCCAAGTGAGGTGTTATATTTAGGCCTTTTCCTAACCTTACACCAAGATATGTTACCTCACTTGGGCGTATTATTTGACCTTCTATATCCATGCTAATGGGATGTGCTCTATCAGTCGTGCCTTTCAAGAGGATGGCTTGCGTCTTTTCAGCAGCCATACGCATTTTCTTTCCCTCACACCATCTGGCTACAAGGTTGGCACATCGCTCTGCTGCTAGTTTGATCCCCGCCCTGCTGTTGGATGCCACCACAGCAGCTAGATCGTCAACATAGGCAGTGGCATAGAACCGCTCATTTTCAAGCAATCCCAGCAACTCATCAAAAACCAGCTACGATAGAGCAGGACCAAGTACTGATCTCTGAAGGCATCCCCTCTCTACGGAAGCTTCTACCTCGTAATAGCTGCCTTTGATCTTCACTCGCCTGTCCTGAAGATAGCTCCTTACGAGGGCATATAGATTGCTGGGAGCGTCATATTTTTGCAGCTGCTGGAGTACGCAGGGCCACCATAAACTATCAAAGGCGGAGGATATATCAAAAAGGAGCAGCATGACGTATCGCTCCGCCCTTTCTTCAAGATCTCTGCGAACTCTCAGCAGAGCATCAGCGCTTCCTCTGCCTCTGGTAGAGCCGTATTGCCGTGGATGACTTGCTTGATTAAGAACTGGCCGTAACCTGGTCATCATGAGGTTCTCCAGGACCTTACTCATCACAGGGAGGAGACAAATTGGTCTATATGACTTAGGAAGTTGTTTATCTCTGGCTCCTCCCTTGTAGATGAGTCTCAAATCAGCGATCTTCCATTTCCTTGGGAAGTATCCCCTATCTAAACAATCATTAAAGATTCCTAAAAGTCGCTCTTCAATATAGGAGATACTGTTCTTTAGGATCGCTGCATCTATAGCATCAAGTCCTGGTTGTTGTTTATTGTTATTTAACTTCCTCACTTACCCCAAGGAGCATATAAAATTGAGACTGTGATGGCCTAACTTGTGGGGGCAAGTCTCTTAGAATGTCTGATTTACATACTCTCTTAATATAGTTATTGCAAGACAGGGATTTCGACCTCGGGGTACCTGTGCACCAAATCGGGTACTCAGGAAGAATAAAAACAATAATAGAACAGCTGGGCAGAACCTCACTAAGTCACAGTGTAAATGTAATTTAGAAAAATCAAATAGTATAAAAATGCATATTGTTACACTCCCGCACATCTTAATGTTATAATAAGGTACACTGCTTGCTATGTATCATGGTTCATTGGGATTAACATACACACTTATATATATATATTTTTTTTTTTTTTTCTCCGGTAGAAACTACTTGTACTGACTGGTACTGCTGCTGCTGGAGAGAACTTACTTACTCCGCGTGGGACTTTGGCCTTCTCAACAATACGTCGCCACTCGTCTGGGTCCAATGTGACAGCCCTCTACCGTCTGACATCAAGCTGGTGGCCTCTCCTTCTTGCTCTTCCAGGTCGCCCACATACTATTTTCTTCGGTACTCTGTCCGCTGCCACCATTTCCACATGTCCTAACCATCTTATGCGTCCTGCCTTAATGGCACTAACGAGATCTGTGTCTCTATAGAGTTGTCGCAACTCCCGATTGTAACGGGACCTCCAAACGCCTTCTTCTCAAACAGACCCGTAAATCCTCCTGAGAATCTTACGCTCCCACACTCCAAGAGCCCTCTTATGTTATGCTGAGATAACCCATGTCTCGCTGGCGTATGTGACTACCGGACGAGTCATAGTTTTATAAATTGTCAATCTGGCATTCCTTGATAGACTTCGAAACCTAAGTAGTCGCTGTATGGCATAAAAATATCGAAGAGAACTAGTATAGGCAAATTGATCTTGAGGGAGTTTCAGGTTTCTATCTCGTACTTACCAGAGTGAGATGGTCAAGATAATATAATTCAAACCAACCTAGGTAGGAATTGAACAGAGCACTTTGGGACCAAAGCTCCAACGCGATCGGTCATCACCACTTCTTAGTGGCACTATAGATGTAATCCTTTAACTGACGTACTTTGCTTGTGAAAGCACAACTAACCTGGAAATGGTGACCCAACCTCAGGTTGCTATGGACCATGGTCTTCATGGCGCTGCAGCAGGTCATCTATTAACTCTATAGCTGATCCTTTTGCATTTAGTATAATTTAGTAATCATAAATTGATATAGATTTATAGATAATGATTGCTCAGATATACAGCACCTGTATATCTTTCTCTGAAACAGCATTCCATCAACCTAACCTCTTGGTGAATACTAACATACTGGAAAACCACATCAGGATACCAGGTTTAAAAACAGGGAGTAGGGTCATCACTCCTATGCCTGGTCGTGTAAGTTGCCTCCAGTAACCAAATTTAAATTATGTTTTCAGTATAATAATGACCTCAGAATTTTTTCAACATTTAATATAATTTTACTTTAATTATTTATATTATTTTTCAAGAAATGAAGGAGATCTCTACATCCACTGAAAGGTAATGGACGGAATAAACCTTGTGGTTATTATCTTAGCGTAACCTGTGACTTTAGTGGCAAAACTAAATAAATATCAATAAATCATCATGGAAAGTCATGTTTTATTTTTAGACTTTCTACTATTTCCACTAAATCTACATGGCTGAGAAATGTGCTGATGGAATGTCATCCACCACCACTTTAAAACAAAATGGTGGATTGTAATGTCCAGTTCAGAGAACATCCTTGAGTGGCCGATGAGTTTGGTGACATTTGAATGAATAAATTAAAAATGAATTTTGTTCTGGGACTATAGTCTCCTTAGAATAATAACATAGTTCAGAAAATATATACTTCAATCAAACAAGTGGATATGATAAAAAATACAAAGAGAAGATACAGATATATACAAAAAATACAGAGAGAAAAATAAAAAGGCTCTTTATCATTTTCACATCTATTGGTGAGGAATTGTATTTACATAGCCTAAAAATTCTTATAAGCTGACGGAGGTTTGAATGTGTGTAATAGGAGTTGTTTGAAGGAATTTGTGGATGTGGTTTTGCACACGGAGATAGATAAGAAGTTCCAAAAGGAGGTGGCACAAATGACGAAGGATTTGCTCAAAGAAGTTGTTTTATGGGAGGGAATATAAAGGTCTATAGGTTGAGATTGGGTATTAAGAGAGTGAATAGAGGAATGTAGAGTAAGGAGTTCTAGAATGTAAGGAGGATTCTTAGTTATGAGGACTTGGAAAAGGAAAACACCAAGAAGGAATTTCCATCGGGAAGCAGGATAAACAAATCTGGAAAAAACAATTGTTTAATTGTCACATAGAAAAACTGCGGACAGGAGGTAGACCAATCTTTTAAAATTTGATATTTGGATTCAGTTATTTTAAAACATATAATCTCAAAGTTTAATTTTTAAAATTGCGAGTTTTTAAATTGGAGAACTCTACACAGAATCTGATGAAGTTTTTTAAATCGATTTTACGAGATTACAATGGTGTGGGCTTCTACACTGAACAGAATACAGAAGAGATGTCTGAGATCATGAATAAACATTAGATCTGTCTCAATGTGAAACCTGTAAGACTGACAAATGCCAGCTTTTCAGCAGAGCCAAAAAAAAAGTTTAGAAAACGTAGTATCCATCACATTGAGATATTAGTAATCAGTAATTACTAACAAGTGATATGCTATCGAACAGAAAAAGTTAATAAAAATGAAATAATATATTAACCCAATATCAAAACCTTTTGTACTTACATAGATTCACATTTAGGATGATTATTAACCAATTCAATGGTTATATAATTCCTCTTAAAAATTCCAATTATTTTCAGGGAGAAATAAATGACATTCCACTGTAATACCTTAAAATATTTTTTTTTTTTTAAATTATAGCTCAAGAAAATAGTTTTCTAAAAGAAAAGTTTTCTAAATATATTATATTTAATAAGACACATAATTACAAATTATTTGTAATACCTTTAAATGCTATGAAAAAAGAAAAAAAATGATAAAAATATAATTTATTTCCATTCTGTGCTTTTAAATTATATACAACATTCAAGAAATACATTTCATTGTTCCTTAAAGAAATCAAATTTGAATAATAATTCTATAATACACTACAATTATTCTAAATGATTTCTCTCTTTAAAATAATAATAATAATCAAAAAGGCCTGTGAAAAAAATTAATAACTCTTCACAGGCACATTATCACAAATACTTTTAGAACAAAATGTTAAAATTTTTTGGTTGAATTATAAACAAGAAATAAGTTTATAATGGGGTGTATGCGAAATCAGTCGTCACAAAAATTAACATTGACAGAATAAATAAAATAAAAATAAATTGTTCTTAAATGAAGAAGGGAGATTCTAAAAATAGAAAACTATTTCACTCTTTTCTGTTGCCTTAACCGATAGATATCATTAATAGGAGGGGCCATATTTTCTTCGTCGTCACTGTCATCTCCAAGCTTTCTTCTCTTAACAGTGCCTCCCTCATCGTTGTCGACGATCCAATGAACAGACTTCGCGAGGTCAAACAGTCTGGTGTCACATCCATTATCACCTTGAGGAACTGGAGCTGGATCAGAAAAATAATTTTAGTATAATACTTGATAATAATATAAATAATAAAAGTTTAATCTTAATATATCAACTTTAAGGTTGCTCTAAAAAAATATATACTGTAAACGGAGTTACTTTGTACCACTTTCAATAGTCAAAAAAGTCTGGATTTTATACCTCAGCTTCCTTAGGAAGAAAGAAAAAACACCTCGTTTGCATTGTAATGATATTTGAATGTTTTGTATTTTTAAGTGGAGCAAAGTTAGGAAAATTTGCACTGCTTTAAGGTGATTTGACTTTCCTTCACTTTAACGAGGAGAATGTTTTATCTGAGTTCGTAGTAACAAGGGTTTAGTACAGGTATTTTTTAAAAATATTTTTTGATACGAATAAGTTACAAATGCAGATGTCAATGTTATTGGAAGGACATTTGAAGCAACGAGCGACTCCTTTCTCAACCTGCAGAGAGAGAGAGTGCAAGAATGGAACTCGTTATAAATGAGTCAAAAACTAAGCACTTGCATGTGAACCCTGTGGGTGGAGGTCATAGAGATGACCATGTGCATGTTGGGCAGCACGTCTTCGAGAGAGTCGATCAATTCATCTATCTCAGAACTCCACGAAAGACATGAACCCCGAAATCCAGCATTGCATAATGGCAGCAACAGATGCTACTATGGACTCCAGAGACACCTCAAGTGCAGGGATGTATCTAGGATCACCAATGTGTGGCTGCACAAAATGCTCGTTAGAACTGTACTGACCTATGGATTGGAAGGTTGGATCCTTCTCGGAACTAAGGAACTGGCACTGACAAAATTTGAACGACGAATACTCATCAGAAACTATGGGGCTCTTGTTGTTGATGGAGGCTGGAGGCAACGTACCAATGCCAAGTTGTTGAGTCTCTGGAGGAATACTGACATGTTTAGTTTCATTAAGATAGGCCAGCTGCAGTAGGTTGGACACTTGGCGAGATAAGCTGAGGACCAAATCCAGAAGAAGGTACTGGAGGAACAGCTGTGGGGAGGGAGACGAGTAGGCAGACCCAGGCTGCGTTGGGCTGACAGTCTGACAGAAGATTCTCAGTCCATACTAGGCAACCATGACTGGAGAGCAGCGGTGCAACAAAGAGATGGTTGGCAGCAGTGTTGCTGTTTGTACGATGATCCTCGTATTTGTACGAGGTTATGACGTAATGTACGAGGTACGAGGATAGATCAGCCTCGTACCTCGTACATAAGTTTTGCTGACGTTTGCAATGCAAGGTTATATTTTTATGAATGAAGTTTAGAATTGTTTTAAGGTTATTTTGACTGTATTATTATTTATATTGATTTGAAATACTGAACTCCTGTTGCTTTCTAGACAAATAAATTGCAATTATATCTTCTTTACTTAGAGTATGATTATTATTTCATTCATAAAACCAGGATTGTATATATATGTTTTTTTTTTTAATTTTCTAGAAAATAAAATTAAAAAACATATTCTAGATTTTATTTAGTATAAAATAAAATATAAGAAACCATATCCATTATTTCCTTCATAAAACTTTTTTTTATAAATATGTATTTTTTAAAATGTGTTGTAAAATAAAATTAAACAGAAATTTTTACCGTCATTTTTATCGATCATAAAATAAAATACGAGAAAGTATATCCATTATTTCCTTCATAAAACTGCAATTGTAAATATATTATAGATAAATTAAATTTTTTTAAAAATTATACCGTAATTTAAAAAAAATATTTTCGATTTTTAATCGAGTAAAGTAATTGATTGAAAAATTAATTAGTATTCATAATGAACCCATCTTAAATAATGACAAAAAAAAAAAAAATTCAGTGGTCCTCAGTGCGAGATATAATTGTAAAGCTAAATACTGAAACGATCACAATCTATTATTTTTTTATATCATAATGGATATCTCTAAAAGCACCAATGTCCCAAAAATTAATTTTTATTGGCCTTCCAGAACCACTAACATCCTTTCGTAAAAGTAGTTGTTTTATTTTTAGAAAAAAGAAAAAAAATTAGTCCTTCCCTCAAATTAAATCTTGGATCTACTACTGAATACTTATGAAGAGTACTTTAAGAAGTTTATTTAGCTATTTTAATGTTTATATAAAGTTTTCAGTAGTTTATAAAAATATATAAACTTTTTTATGTATTTTATTAAGCGAATTTTACTTCTTGACCCATTAACTTAAAAAAAGTAATGTAAAAAGGCTTTATAAAATATATGAATGGAGGTAAAAATAAAAAATTCTGATCTAATTTTACTATAAAAAAAACAATAACACTGGGCTTATAATAATACAAGTTATGAATGAATGAGCGTATGAGGCTTGAGTACGAGGTTTTGTCACAGAGCGCGCGGTAACACTGGTTGGCAGTCAATGCTGCCTTGTTCCCTCGCAGAGTATAGTGCCAGTAAAGAAGAAGAAAAAGAAGAAGTTATATAAAATAAAAAATTTTCATGATTGTGGTATAACTTACGAGTATCAGGAAGCTGTATTTTAGAGAAAATATCAATGAGCCTGTCAACTGCAACGAATGGACCATGAAAACACTGAGGCGGCGGCAGTAGCGAACACAGGTGACCTACTGCAGGAGGCATAGGGAAAGCTCCACCTGGAAATGAAATAATTACATTATAAACAAATAAATAAGTAGTATCCATTTTATCTTCATTATAGTTTATAAAATAAATTAATTTTATAAAGATGTATTGTTTGCTAACCCTTGACTTAGCAACCTGCTTTATGTAGAGAATTTTCATACTGACTATAAATTTATGAAACTTGAAAAAAAAATATTACCCTTCACACTTTACTATATGAGGTCTAACTATAATACAAGTTTTTTGAATATTCACAGTATAGTTTTATGTGAAAAAAATATTTCATATCTAATTAATTATATGAATAAAAAAACTTATAATCAATCATATAAGTAATAGTAAAGATAATTATTTTAATAGTATCGCCTCAAAAGAACATTTATACATGGCTAAAATTAAATTTACATTCGAAAATGTATTTTTGAGGAATTGAGTGATTAATAAGGAAAAGGATGTAGACTTTTAGTTGGATAGCAAGGTAAGTTAAAAATGATTTGCTTTAAGCAGGAGGTGTCTTGATGGAACTTCACACTAATGGATTCATACTAATGGACAATACTTATCCATTTTCAAATCGTGTTTTTACAATAAACTATTTTAAATCAACAATTAAAAACAATAAATTTACTATAATTAAATAAGCACTAAAATCACTTATTGACAATATGCAAAGATCATTTATTCATATTAAGTGTTCATTCATCATTCATTCATATAAAACATTCAAGTGAATGAAAATGATTCAATTTCACAGGTATTTAATAGACACATAAAAAGCTTTACGAAACCAAGGAATAACAAACTTTCTATATTTAAAACATTAGAATTATGATATAATTTTTATTTAATAATTAATAATAAAAAAAATCTTTATCATTACACCCATGAAGGATCTAGGCTTCATTAATTTAAAGTACTGTTTCTTGGTCAACGGTTGTGTCTGGAAGTTAATTTGAACAAGACGATACTCAACCGCCAGATTTTTCCTCATAATGAATTATTTAATTAAGGGTGCCCACTTTATAGGGACTGAGTAATCTCCAGGAGAGTTTCCAGACCCCTAGGCCAATCCATGGCTGATGTAATGGAACAAATAATTACATACCATGGCTGAATTCTTAAATGTTGATTAATGTTGTAGATAGTATAAACTGGACTCATGTGCATCCAAAATATTCATTGATAGCCAATTGTAAGATGATTCAATGGATTATGAGAGGAAATATGGAGGATTACGTTTACTCAGAAATGACAAATAAACAAAAAACAGTAAAGAAGAATCAACTGTTACCTGGAACTGGGTGTTCTCCTGGGTAGGCACTAAGCTTAGGTTTAAAGGGTATCATTTGAGAAACATCGGGTCGCGGGATAAGACGCTGGGTTCCTTCGTCATCCAATAAGCCATCTGCGAGGAAGCCAGGCACCGACGAATGGATCGAGCTTTTAAGGTTTGTAGTTCGAGTGGTAACTTCATTATATCCAATAGACCTAAAAGGATAAATAAATATTGAGTTGAAAAAAAAAAAAAAAGTAAATGAATTATAACAAAACTTTAAAAGAACTCACTTAAGTTCTGGAATGGTGCATGGGTATAAATCCAGAAACCTGTATCTATCAACAAGCTGGGCTGTTTCTTTACCTTCAAATTCAGCAATCTGAAATTTATAAATTTTTATATGTTATGATTTATTTTTAAAAATTGAACACTAAAACAATATTTTTAAATTAAAACAAAAATTGAAAAAATACACTAAGCTAGAATAAAAAATATCAAAACTCTAAGTTGCGATTCAGAAAATTTGTACAGTTAGACCTCTAATACAAAGAATGTACATAGCATTTTCTATGTCCTGACATCCTGTCATTTTTCAACAGAAAAATTATTTTTTTCAAAAACTTCATTAGAAAATATTAATGTATACCTACAGAGAGTAAAACAAAAAAGAAATTACTCAAAATAGAACTCTGTGGTGCTATCAAAGCAAACTTCCCACCAAACCATCACTGAGGAAGGGTGATGACCTCTTTCCACTCTTCTAAGGACTTCCTGGACTTCACACACGATCATTTTGGTGATTAAATTTTTCTTCAATTGTAAACATTTTCTCATCACTAAACAAAATCTTTCGAAGAAGACCATTGGTGTAACGGCCAAGGAGCACTTTGCATCTATTCGCTCTAATTTTTTTAAGGGAAGTCGTAAGTCTTTGTCCTGCCATTCCTTGAAATGCACCTATCCTAATTTCACTTTTTATTATGCGAGACATTGATCTGACAGAGCGAATACTACTATTCTATGCGGTGCAGGGACCGGCTAGGGTCGCACCTAACTGAAGTCTTAACCGACCCCAACCTAGCCTCACGTCCCAGATAGTTTTGAGGATATAAGAGAGGGCCAAGCTCCTACTATGGTAGCTTTCAACCCAGATGACTGGACAGAACTCAGTCATGACCAGCAAACACACGACCGCCACGGCCAAGCAGTGCAAGCACTCTTCCAGTCCATCCAAAGCGCCACCAGGGCTCCGGCGAGGCCCCCTAGCACCAATTTGATCAGGTAAGTTTTTCTTACCTGAACTCAGAGCACGATTGGTCTCAGGCTATCATTACGATCGCTACGGCTTTACATCAACTGCCGATGGTGCAAGAGGATGCCTGCACATCCACAGACGATGAGGGACGACTTGGACCGAGGGCTCAAGCTGAGAACCATCCTTGCACATTGATCTGAGAGAGATTTCCATTTCCCGAGACATGATTTGTTGTTTTTGAATGAGATTTCTTTTGATTCAAGCAGCCACTGCTCTCACTGCATTTGCCGTTCTCACAGGGTGGGGACTGTCCGGTCGAGGTGTGTCACATGCAGATAGAGTCTCATTATATCTATTTATAGTGCGGTACACGAACATACGGCTGATAGTGTTGAAAATCTCTGCCCTACATTTTCCAACTTTGTGTAAGGTGATCACAGCTATTCGGTTTTCTTTATCATGCCACTCCATGTTAACTGAGCGAAAGAAAAACAAACTAATTGGGATTATTATCCTGACATGTAAAAAAAATAACCTGATAGTAAGGATTATCTAAATAACACCCAAAGATGTAAACAAAGTTCAACTTATATACCTATATACCAATAGAAAATTTTGAAGATTTAATAAAAAAAAAACTTTTATTTATAATTTTCATAAAAATAATTATTTACCTGTACCGTTAAAACCCATAAGGAGTTTTGGGAATAACATCTACCTCATTCATTTTTCTCACAAACAAAAGCCTTCTTCAAAATTTTGTATAGGTAATCGGAGACCTTTTTTTGTTTGTACTAAATTAGGTCTAACTATAATACAAGTTTTTTGAATATTCAAAGTATAGTTTTATGTGAAAAAATATTTCATATATCTAACTAATTATATGAGTAAAACAACTTATAATTAGTCATATAAGTAATAGTAAAGATAATCATTTTGGAGTACCGCGAGATAGTACCGCCTTAAAAAAACATTTATACATGGCTAAAATTAAATTTACATTCGAAAATATATTTTTGAGGAATTAAATGATTAATAAGGAAAAGGATGTAGACTTTTAGTTGGAGAGCAAGGTAAGTTAAAAATGATTTGCTTTAAGCAGGAGGTGCCTTGATGGAACTTTTGAAATACATTTGAATTTCTTTCTTTTTTTTTCAAGCTTTTATGAATAATGCTTGAAACATTTTGACGAAACATGAAAATCTAGTAACTTGACCATATACAATAATTTGTTAAGTTTTAGGGACTACAAGACACTCTGGCAAACTGGCAAAAGCCTTAAGCAAAAGCTGGCCCTTTGATTGGATAAGTAGATAACATTTATTACAAAATTACGTAATAAATTGTTTTAAAACATTTAAATAGAAGATAAGTTAAAGGATAAAACAAAAAAATGTAACAATATGATTTTCCCTTATTACCTGGCATTTACCATCTTCTTAGTTACCTTTATCAACATAGTTTCATTTTGACTGACAAAAGCACAGTGTCTACTGAAACATTCTTAATGAATTGCCTGACTTTTCTATGTTTTTGATTTATATTTAGAAAAATTCCAGGTCACTTCTTATGTTTTTTCATAGAAGCATAACTTGGCCGCTTACATTAAGGGATGAACGATGACTTAAAGAGTTTTTGAAAATAAAGTACTGCTTAAAATATTTGGAACGGAATAGAAGGAGTCAACAGGCGAATTTAGATGAACTTTTTTAAAATTAAAACTTCTTAGAGCGCGTTTTGCACTTTTTTTATGGAGAGTTAATTAGATTGACCCGTCAGATTCCGATGTGTAACGTTTGCTGGAGTCGATTAATTGAAGTGTTTTGCATAAGGTTTAAAATATCTCAAAAACTAAAAATTGGACCAGCACATTGTAAGTGAGGGAAGTGTTCATCATTTCATCCTCTTTGTAATGGGCTATTATTCAAAATTGTATCTTAATGCAACGCCGTGTTAGAGAGGCAAAAAGGAAAAGAATAGTGTTGAAAACCAAATGATAACGATTTTTATTGAAGATTTTAGAATTTAAATATCTCAAAAACTAAAAATCGGACCAGCATACTGTAAGCGAGGAAAATGTATATCAGCATTTCATCCTCTTTCTAATGTGCTATTATTCCAAATTGTACTTTAATGCAACATTGTGTTATAGAGGCAAAAAAGAAGAAATAGTGTCAAAAACCAAACGATAACGAGTTTTATTGAAGATACGGATTAAAATATCTCAGAAACTAAAAATCGGACCAGCATACTGTAAGCGAGGGAAATGTTCATCATTTCATCCTCTTTATAATGAGCTATTATTAATAATTTATATTTCATATTATTAATTTTGTCTTGTTGATATTTTCACTTCTATTGTGTGGTTTAAAGCACCCACCTTAGTTTTTATTTTATAATTTTTTCAATTATCACCAACCTCGCTATTTATGGCATATGGGGGATGTGGGGGTATTCTAGAGGTAAAACCAAATCTATTCTACCCAGAGTGGGAAGGCCAAGATTCATTCTGTGGGTACACCACAAAATAAATTTCAACCCACCCTGGCTGAAATTGAATTGGTTCTGCTAGACTCAAGAATATTAAAACATGCAACTTTAGGGCTCAAAGAATTATGTGAACTGTATCCAGTAAATACAATTGTGATAATAGCTTTGCGGCAAATATACACTGTGCTTGTTGGTTGATATCCAACAGGGGTAGACCGAAGCAAAGGTGGAATGTTAGCATAAAGATTGTTCTTGCAAGGTTGGCTTTAGAGTATGAAGTAGGAGAAAGTACATAACAGCAATTGGTGATATTGGCACCGACCGAATCTTCAGGTTCACGCAGCCTTTTATTACAATTATAAAATATTATCAGACAATTCATGATACTAGAAGTCTTATAAATTTGTATATAAAAGTTTTAAATTTGTAAGATACACAAGTTTAAAAAAAAAAAATAACAAAAATCAAACCGTTTCTTTTTGGCATAAAATAAAAAATATCAAAGGAAATTTTTTTGGAATTAAAATATTTTTAAAAATTACCTTTTCTGAAATGGAAACACTATCAAAATAAATAGTTTTAAAAATACCATTAGAACAAATAAATTAAATAAACAATTACTAAAAAAACAACTAAGGTGTTTACTTTAGACCTGATGATAGAAGAGAAAACATCAACAAGGCGAGATTAATAATATGAAATATAAATTATAAATAATAGCTCATTATAAAGAGGATGAAATTATGTACATTTCCCTTGTTTATAGTATGCAGGTCTGAGTTTTAGTTTCTGAGATATTTTAATCCATATCTTCAATAAAACTCGTCATCAGTTGGTTTTCAGCACTATTTTTCCCTTTTCGCCTCTTTAACACAGCGACACAAGATATAATTTTGAATAATAGCCCATTAAAGAGAGGATGAAATTCTGAACAATTCCCTCGCTTAGCGTATGCAGATCCGATTTTTAGTTTTTGAAATATTTTAATCAATATGTAAAAAGTGCAAAAATACTTCAATTAGTCGTCTCCAGTCGACATTACTCGAGCGTTACACATCGGAGATCTGACGGCTCAATCTAATTCACTCTCCACAAAAAAAAGTGAAAAACACGCCTAAAGAAGTTCTTTGAAAAAACTGTCACAAAAAATCTATGAGCACCCAATGATATGTTTAATTAGTTTTATGCAAAATTTTATATTTTTCATTATTATGTAAACTATTTTTGACAAACAGTGATTCTGAATCATTAATTAAAGGTTGCGTACGTTAGCTCATGAAATTCCCTGGCCAGGTATTCCAGATTCAGTAGACACCTTGCAAAGTTCATTCGAAAATCAATGGCTGTTGGTTTATATTTTATCAATGAACCTATTTTGTGAATGAAAACTTATGTTGATTGAAAATAATAAAATAATGACAGTAATTATTTCTCTTTAAAATGATCGTAGAAAGAGCAATTCAACCTGTTCATACAATTCATCATTGAAGCACTCAAGCAATCGAGGAATGATACTTTGAGGAAGGAGGGGATGTTGAGGTTGGGTATCAAGGTTGATATTGTTTCGTTTACGAGACAATGCTCGATATTGCGAGCGTATCTGAAACACATTAAAAATATTAGCAGAAAAAAAGAAATGATTCGAACAGTTAGAATTTTCAAAAGAATATATAAGGCGTTTACTAACAAAAAGGTATAGCTCCATTTAATTTAATTTTTTGAAATTTCCATTATTTTCTTAAAGCGAAGTTCTAGATTAATCTTTATCAGCTGACAAAGATTTTGTATTCGAATAGAACCAAAACAAGATTAAGATATGTCAGTTTTTAACAGAAAGAGATAATAGTCTTTTAATAATGATCATTTTTGCCTTTTAATAATGATGAAAACTGATTTATTGGGAGCAATATGTTTTATAATTTTTAAATCTTTCTTAATCACTTTTTTATTTATTAATGTTTACAACTTCCTTACCTACATTTCAGATTATTTCCACATCATCTGGATATATATAAATTACGTATAACTATTTTTATATATAAAATAAATTTTTATTTAGATGTTCTTGTGTGTAACAAATTAGTTCATAAATCATAAAAATGTCCTTATGTGTTTAGTTCCATCAACAATGTACTTCATGACTTTTCTCAAAAACTCAACGCATATGCCCATATGAACTCATAAAAACATATACAATGAAGATATATAAACATTAAAAAAAAAATATATTAAAAAATTAACTGATACAACTATTTTTATTTTTAAATTTTAAAAACAATTTTGCTCTTTAAAATGAATCCTTAATATTTGTTCCCTGTGCTTTATTTTAGATACCATGGAAAATTTTCTTTTAAAAAGAAATGAAATTGGTCAGCACAATATTATTATATTTTTTGTTATAAACTCACTTTCCATCAAATGGGACAACATCATATTGAATTTATTCTAGGAATGAAAAACTTTTTATGTTTTTTTAAAATATAATTTTAGACTTTGAAATTATCCCTTTTCATTAGCAGACACCTTATATACTAATCAAGAAAATAATTTCTTGAGAATAGATCATTTATAAATGACTGATTTTTGAGTTATTAGTATCGAAGACATATTATAAATAAATTACGATTTTTTTTCTTTCCACTAAGAGTAGTCAAACTGAACATATTCCAAAGAAGGAATTATGCAGAAGTAATTCCTATAATATAGATATTATACTCTTTAAATACCCAATTCAAGCATTGAGCATAACAAATATTAGTCAAAAAAATCTGGTGTGGGGCGCGCATCACACAACTTTCACTTACCGCCCTCTTCTTAGCAGAAATGAGTATTTTCAGACATGCTCAGTAAAAATTAGAGACTCTATATTTATTTATATTTCATTGTGGGTATTTTCATTTGTATAGGTACCATATATACAAATTTCAATATTTATATGGCTGTAATCTATACAATTAAATATTAGATGATACCAACAATAGTATTTATGAAAACCATATATTTATATTTATGTAATATTGTTGGAGTCCATATTATATTAATCTCATGATATGTATGGAGCGTGTTCTAATCTTTGGGGCAAGCTTGGGTGCTCTCGTGTTCCTTTCGTTTCTCAATTACAACTATTCTCCGTTACGATCTCATATTTCTCCTTTAGTTAATTATCAAATTCTTTCATATCTTATATTTAACCATTTTTAATATTAGAAATTAATGTGAAATGGTCAATTGTTTCAAATAAAAAAAAATTAAAGGTACTTTAGAGGAGGCTAATATTGAAGATTAGCCATTTAAGCCCTGTTAGAAAACATCAATCAGAATAATAACCATATTTTATTTAAAACTGCTTAATTTTACACTGATATGATTAATTTAATCAAAATCGTTAGAGCGGTTCTCGAGATAATCATAAAAATGTATTTAGTACATTATATGAAGTGCCACTTCTGGTATGCCGATTTTGATAAAAAAGTTGGTCTAACATCCCTAGCATATAAAAACCTTAAATATGCAATTTTACTTCTGTATGACTTTTCATTATTTAGAGCTAGACTGTTAACACAAACACACACAGACCATTTTGCGGGACTTGGTTATTTGGTCTCAGGGGACCTCAAAACGTATATTTCTGTTGAAAACTCAGATTCAAAAATTTTCACGATCACAATACTTACCCTTACAATATATAACATATATAAGAAAGTGAAAGTAAAAAAAATCATGTTAAATATTAACAATTATACAGCTTTACATGATATAATCATTTTAAATTATACATAATGTTACACAAATTAAAATAAAAAGTTTTGTAAAATGAAAAAAAAATTCATTACCTTTCCCAATACAGCACTCCTTCGTTTTTCAACTTTAACGATACTGGCTAAATCACCTATGTTACACTCGAATTCCAAAAATCTATTCCAAATCTCTCTGTATAAAAAATAAAATGAAAAAAATCAGCTTTATAACATGATAAATGTAATCATTAAAGAAAAAAATAATCATGGCCCTCTTAAGGTGCAAAGACTACAAATATTGTAAAAATATTGATATATCGATACTTTTTATTTTGATATATAGTCATTAAAATTTGATTATTGAAAACTGATAATATTTCTGGAAAAAAAAAAAAAATTAAAAATGTTAACAATGAAAGCCATCTCACTAATAATTTTTTTTTTTTTTTTGCACTTACATTTATTTATCCGCACCTGTCAATTATTATTGACAATCAGCAGATGTGCTGGCTTAGTAATGAGAGAAAAAAAAAATAAAAAAAAAAATAAAAAAAAAATAAAAAATAAAAAAAATAAATAAATAAATAAAACGGCTTGATAGGCATGAGGAATAGCAATACCCAGCGGTATCCCTTCCATGGCTTTTATTTACTAACATTATTTAAGCAGATCCCTCATCCAGACCCTTTTCAGTCGTCTTCTGGAGTTCTCCGGCATACTAGTTGTGGCCATTTCTTTTACCAGCTGGTTGGAGTGCCCGTTTAACATGTTATGAAATCGTTTGTAGTACGTTCGTATGTGTTCATTGACTGTCGGAACGTGTAGGTCGGTGTGCAAAGTGTGATTGTTTACGTACCATGGTGCTTGAGTGATTAGTCGTAGTATCTTAGACTGAAAAGTTTGAAGTTTATTTATGTGAGTTGGTTTTGCAATTCCGTATATTTGTAGTCCGTAAGTCCAAAGAGGTTTCAAAAGATACGTGTAAATACTTAGTTTCTGTCTTTCACTAATAATTAAATATTATATTAGAGAGGTTGGTTTAATTAATTTTGTTTATGTCCTAGTAAAAAGTTTTTTTTTTATAATGAAAATTATATATAAATAATTTTTACTAGTTTTATTTTCTTCAATTTTTTATGCTGAAAGGTTTAAATAATTTTTCTTTAGTTCACAGTAAAAAATGTTGGTTTTAATAAATTTTAAGATTTTTTGTATAGATTTTTAGTAATTTATTTAAAACTGGTTTATTTCCTCCTTTTTAATTTTTAAGATATTTATTTAATTGAGTTTTTCCATTTATAGTTTTAGATTTCTAAACACTAAAAATAAATTATTATTTTCTTTATTGACAACTGTAAAAAAATTGATACTTTTATGGATAAGCATCGTATAAATATTTAATTGTGCAATTAATATCCTTCTTTCAAAGATAAAAAAAAAAAAACACTCTGGCCCGAAGTATTTTTATTGATATTTTGATAATATATTTTTTTTATATTTACATTACAGAAGTGTACACTTATAAAGATATGAAAAAAGATAAAAATAAAAATATTTCATATCATAGCAATAGTAAAAAATAAAAACAATATATTAATAAACTAAAATCTATCCGTACTGTTCAGTTTTGAAAGAATAAAAAAAAAAACAACTAACAATTAACATTATTATGAATTTAGTTAAGTATAATATTAAAAAATTTAACATACACAGATTTCTCTGGTTCTAAGCTGCCGGATGTCAGAACTCTTTCAAATAGCACTCTAGTATTATTATCCTCTAAAACAAAGCAAAACAAAAATATATTAAAAAATAAAACTACCAATATTTCACATAATAATTAAAATAACACATTTTAATACCATTTAAGTGAGATAAATAGTCAATATAACAGAGAACGTATTGTGGATTACTAGCAAACTTCTTTAAACCTAATTCGAAAATCCTAAAAGCAATATTTTTGTCTTTACTGCAATAATATTCCATCAACGCTGCGGCTACGAAGACCTGCAAAATTCAAATTATTAGAGTATACACACATACCATATTATCTTTATGAATCGAAGTGATTGTTAATGAAATAACTTGCCTGATATTTCGATCTGTTGTCTTCTCGGGCTTTCTTGAATACGTTCCTAGCAGATTTAATGCCTTCTGCTCGCCGGGCAAATTTCATGTATTGAACATAAGTCTGTGTACATAAACCATCATACAAATAAAAATAAAGATACTAATTCAATATAAATTACAATTGAGAAATAAGGTTTAATTGAAGTATTAAATTTCAAATCAGCCATATTTATTTATATTTTCATATTTTTGATAATTATTTATATATTGATTTATATAAATTAGATCCTTTTTACCTACTCCATGAACCACAACTCCCCTTATCCACCACTTACCTTCATTTGTCAATTCCATTGCTTCTTCAGACATTGCTTTACGAAATATATGTTTGTCTTTTATAATTACTTTTAATTTACCTATCCTTCAACATCTTTTCCACACACACTACACTCTTCAAATGTCCACATATTCCTCCCATTCCTAACCTTCCACTACAAAACTTGAACGTAAATAAAATTGTCATTACACATATTATACCATCACTTTTACTGTTTTATTTTTATATTTTGTACCTTTCTATACTATTACATATTTTTTTTAATAAATAAGTAATAATAATAAGTAGGTATTAACATTAATAATACAATAAGTAGTTATTGAAATTTGAATGACAATATATAACATTGAACTTAAACAGCTTGTAGTACACATCCCCCTGTATTTACTCCTTTAGATGACATTGTGTGAGGGAAGGAGAAGGAATATATAATATATAGGAATGTGAGGTTGCACTGTGAATTGTACTCAATTGTGCAGTGGACAAATTGCTCATTGGAAAATCTCATATCGATAAAGAAGGAAAAAAGTAAAGTCAGGTAGCAGCAGCTGGAAGACGACACCAAACACTTGAGACTGAGACACCGAGGCGTGAGGACGTTACCTGAGATGAGAGAAGCAGGACATTGAAGACCAAGAATATCAAGCCGACAGTTATAAGACTTTAATATATTCATTTATTATCAGTTGTTAGAATAAATTGTTTAGTTAGACAGGAGTGAATAGTCCTTTTATTTAGTTGTCCTATAGGCCTCACAATTGAAGAATAACAAACCAGGTGAGTCAATTCATTCAAAGTGTATTTACTAAGTCCCACATTATATCATATATATATAATATATATAATATATATATATAATATCTTATTCTCACACTCAGTGTCACAAAAGGTATTAGATTCCCGAATTTCCCAACGACAGTTAAACACCCTCAAAAAGTCTATATCCAGTGCCGAGGTTTTGTTTTAATAATTCACGAGTATAAATAACCTAAATCCCCGATATACAAGCGGAAGGCTATTTACTATTCCCACCAAAACTAATCATTTACATTTAACTTTCAGTAGGTTATTTACAAGCTATTGTATACATTTTAATATGGTTGTTTATAATTAAATTATTTTATTAATGATATATGTATTGCCAAGCTACTCTACAATAACCAATCAGTTTATTCCCATCTTTACCATTTAAAAAATTTTAAATTCTAATGCGTCTAATGTTGTTTCATTCTAATAAAGTAAATATTTTATTCTAAACTCAGCTAGAATGCTGATTCATACAGCTATAAAATGGTAAATATCTTCTTCTGCAGTAAGATTATATAAAGAGCACAATTTATTCTCATTAAAAAACCTATATTTATTCAGGTATAACAGTTTGCCCCTAAATTTGAATATCCAACTTATCGTGGTTGAGTCTAATTTGTTATCATTAAGCAAACCTGATTTGAAATTTAGCTCTTTATACAATTTCCAGTTAATTAAAACTTATGTGCATTATTGAGAAACTGAAGTAATACAAATAACAATCACTAAATTTGACCTGTCGTTAAATCATTATTAAACTGTATCATGATAAGTTGAGTAAATTGTTACAATTGGTCTATTAATACTCAAGAATGGAATTTAAAATAAATATATATTCAGAATAAGTCATATAAGATAATTTATAACATACCAATGTAGGATCTATATCTGGAAGCTCTAAAAACTTTTGGTATATCTGATGTACTTTGTCGTATTTGAGGCGTCCTTCCTCGAAGTCTGCGTAAGCGAAATGAAGTAACATATTGTTTCGAAGGACGGTGCTGGTTGCTCTTTCGAACATATTACCAGCCTCATCGTTAAATAATTTTGCAGAGGTAACGTCCTAGAAAAAATGTTAATGATAAAATTTTATCATCTGATGATGTTTTAGATCTATAACTTGAAATCAATACTTTAAAAGAACCCAACCAAGAAGCATAATTAATGAAACATGATTTTTTTTTAAACTGTTCTTAGTTTTATAATTTTTAATCAGAGTATAAACAAAAAGGAAAAAAGACAAAATTTGGTTAAGAATTATATTTTTTTTCTTGATTAAAAATTAAAAGCATCTGTCATGATGGGAACTGAATCTGAAGAAAAGTGTCAAGAAAAAAATAATTTAAATGAAAATTAACGTAACCGATAAGTCCAGTTTAATACATAACAACACCTGTGGAGTTATGTGCTATCCTGGCCTTGTCAACTATAATACATAACATCTGAGGAAAATCTGGCTGAGTTGGCTTATGCGTGTGCACAGAACCATGCGTTGCCTGACAACCTGATAACCTGAAGTTTGCGATATAAAAATAATTACGAGTTCTATAATGATGGCTTCTAACTCAGCATAATTCCTCCACCCTCTCCCTCGATCCGGGAAAAACTCTGTGTAGCCTAAAAGGCAAGGAAGGGGAGAATAATAAAAAAATCTGAAATGTATTGTTCAGTTCAGTCTGATTTACTCTCAAATAGATTTAATTCTCAAAAAATGGTGTACCCAGCATACCTCCTGTCCCACCCTCCTTGTAGCATTGCATTGTCTATTGTCTCTTCCAATAAATGGTGCATTTTTTGAAAGAGCAAAAAAAAATCTGTGGAAAATTTGGAGGGCGGGGTGGCCAAATGTACTAATAAATTTGCAAAATACAAGTTCCCCAGAAGGAAATAAATAACAAGAGAGCTCATGATGAGTCGTATAGTAGGAGCACATTGCTAACCACACTATCTCTCAAGAAAATTATTATGCAAGTACTAGATATCTTCCTTATGGAACTTATTTAGCTCCTATAGAAGTTATTCATATTATTTTATTTGAGTGGTTTTAATACTATGCTATAGTTCATAGATGGGGAACCTTGGCCACAGAGGCGACATGTGGCCTCCCAACATTTGTGCGCTGTATTTATTAATCTGGTGGTAGAATTAATTAATATTTAATTATTTAAGTAACAAAAATTTGGAAATTAATATAATAATAAAACCTGGGTGCTCACCTCAACGAGTTCGGATGGGTTGATGGAGACATAAAAGGGAGAATTAAGACGGTAGGAAAATGCTTCTACTTCCTCAAGTCATACTTCTTGGACAAGAAGGAAGTCTCAAAGGCCACTAAGAAGATTGTCTTCAAGAATACCTTTCCTCCCTATATTAACATATGCAAGCGAGACTTGGATCCTCACTTCCAAGCACAAAAGCCAAATCCAAGCTATGGAAATGCGTTATTTAAGGAAAATAGAGGGGAAAACAAGAAGAGATCGCGTTAGGAATGTGACCATATGAGCTAATCTGGACCTGAGGCCTGAAGAGGAAATAATCCAAGAAAACCAACTTAAATGGTTTGGACATGTCTCGCGAATGGCTGAGAAAAGAGTTACCAGGGCTACCTACGAGGTCAAAGTGGAGGGAAGGAGGACACAGGGAAGACCAAGAAAAAGATGGGAAGAAGGAATTATAGAAGCCTTTGACAGGAGAGGAATGGACTGGAGTAGGAGAAGACAGGACAGAGATTCTTGGATCAAGCTCTATAAGAAGGAACCTCACACTGCTCAGCGGTAACAGAGGACTGGATTAAGTAAGTAAGTAAATAATAATGAAGGTTACACTGCCCTAAATTTTGGTGAGCCGATTCAACCGGAAGATAGAAATGTCGACTACTACAAAATCACATGGAAGGAGTAGGCATCGCATGACATATTTTATTACCAACTACATGAGCCTGAGATTGACACTGACTTCTCAGTAGACTGGTTAAAGGCAGGGCAAATATATGGTGAGACCGAGAGATTTTCTTTAGCTATTCAAGATGAAATTATCGCAACCAGAACTTACAGAAAACTGGTATGGAATATCTGATGAGGCATAATAATGTTGCTAAAATATATCATCAAAGTATATGCAGAACACTCGGACTAGTGGGAGGTAATGAGGTGCTCCACTACCTTTATACCCTAGAAGAACTTAAAGAAAATAGATATAGCAAAGTTTATTGGGATGGAAACATAATAGCGGACCATAAGGTGGTGCATAATCGCCCAGATATCTTGATTATAAACAAAACAAATAAAACTGGAACAATCACAGATACAGCAGTACCCTATGATTCCAACATAGTATCCAGCAGAGCTGAAAATATGAAGAATTTGCGTTCGAGTTAAAAAACGTACCATTTGGAAAAAATAAAAATAACCCCAAATTCATCTCTTCAAATGGTCTTATACTGAAAAGCACCAAAGAAGGTACCCAGGATGTCCGGCAACCTGATAACCCGAAGTTTGCGATAGAAAAATAATTACGAGTTCTATTCTGATGGGGCTTCTTATATATATGGGGCTTGCACTTGATTTGGCACATTTAAGATCATTCCTGCTCGATATGTGACATATTGTTAAAAAAGTTTCTAAATAAGTCAATTTTTTTTTTTTTTTTATGTTGATCTACACTCTCTTGAGTGATTTCCAGGATGTGGATGCTAATTCAGTAGTCTGAGAAAGCGAAGGATGTAAATAAATTGTAGTAGAGTAGATGACCTCTAGTATTTACTCCTATGTGACATCGAGTGAGGCAATGAGAGGGAACATATAGTATATAAATGCATGCAGAGTTGCACTATGGATTGGACTCAATTGCGCTGTGGATAAGTTGTTTATTGAAAAGTATAAAATCAGGAAGCAGGGTTTTGTTTTAAAAATTAAAATTTACGAGTGTAAATAACCTAAATCCCCGACAAAACGGAAGGCTATTTACAATTGTTGCCAAACAGGTTATTTACAAAATAATAACAACAGAATAAAGTTGAATTTATGTATGAGGGTGTGTGTATTTAGTGATAAATAAAAACAGCAACGGTAAAATATAAAGAATTATTGCGACCTCCATTAGCACTGCCTAATCTTACTGAAACCTCTAATCATATAAAGCTTCTCCACCTATGCCGTAGTTAAACTAACTTGAAGAATATCCACGAGTTTGGAGGAGGAAAACATAAACGCCTTCTATGTGACCTAACTTAAGCATCACATGTCAAGCCTGCTGAGGAAAAATATTTTTAACTCAATATTAATACTAAATTTCTGTCATTTCAGTTACTATTTGATGTCTAAAAATAACCTCCCAACTCGATCTTGTTTATTATTTGTATTGTTATTTAGTACAATAGTTTAATCTGTTTTTCAAAATATTAAAGGAGATAGCAATTTCACAAGGCAACTGTCTGAAGTTATGTCAAGTGAAAATGTTAATTTACATTTCATTAATAAAGTGAAAATCCTAACCTATGCTTAGGTTCCAATGTTTTTCTTTAAGTTGTTTGTCTATAAATTAATGCTTTTAAAATATTAGAACATTCAGAATAACGATTTCTATATTAACACGAAATAAAAATAGCTAAATATTTTAATAATGACCTAGATGTTTTGCACCTATAATATCGAAATAACCAACCAACAAAATATAAATCATTATAATTTTTTTTCCTAGTTGTTAAAGAGACAGTAAATCTTAATCAAAATTAGTGGAATCATTTTTATTTTTTAAATAATTAATAATTTGAAATTTTGCATTTTTACAAAAGAAAAATGTCAACTTACAGACCGAGGTTCCATTATCTGGACCAGTAAGAGAAATAGTTGACTCAACTCAATTAGTAGGTTTGTTTACATTCAATTATAAGTTCTCAGGTTCTTCTCTAGCCCTTGAACAAACAAACTTCACGTTTAATAAACTAAACAAAAAGTAGGGATATCGCACCATCGTGCAATTATTGAAATACATGATGAAATGCAGTCGCGAAAATATTGCATGCAATGATGAAATCAATGCTGATCTAATAATTGAAAAAAAAAAAAAGAAGGTAATATTATCCTAGGAATATAACAATAATATAATTTATTTTTTAGTAAGATAGGAGACAGAAGGTAATACAGTTTTTAGATATTGTATTATGTAAAAGTATTACAAATGAGTAACAGAAACGAAGCAGGAGATGCTGGTCAATTGAGAACATAGTCAGCCAAAAGCAGATGCTATTTCAGACAGTGACAGTTGATTTTTATTTCATGGAAAATTCACGGAATAAATCTAACCTTCTTATTTGGGCTGAAATCGGTAACCTGTAAGAACCTCACCTCAAATAAAATAATTTTTAAATAACCATAATCTTCTTTCTGAAAAATCTTATTAGCATCAAGTATTTAGTACTTAGACCAATTATCAGAATTAATTTTAAAAAGAAGTCAGATTTATTAAATCAATAACAAAAATTATGCTCAATGGTTAGAAAATTCATTTTTATTATTTGATAGATTACTTACACCTTTTTCAGTAAGAACTTTCGAACTGTAATCGAGAAATTGAGCAGCTTCATACCATATATCAGCGTGGTGACCGAGACAAAGTAGACACTGTTCAAAAGCAAACATGACCCTTCTAGTAACTAAAGCTGTATCTTCACTTCTCAAAGGATTACTCTTTTCCCAGGCAATATATTTCTTCCAAAGTTCAACCTAAAAGTAAAATTATAGATAGTAATGAACTACATTATTATTTAAAATTTGTATAGAGATTAAAATTGTAAAAAAACAAATAACGTTTAATATACCAAGAAAGTGAAATAGGAAAATAAATAAACATATTTCAAGAACCTATAAAATATCTGTTTACAGTCCAATATGCAATAAAAAAAAAAAAATAGTAATAGCCTCATGGTTTCGTTACAATGATTAAATAATTTATTAAAAACATTTATTATTTATTTTTTTTTTTATTTCTTAATGACATTTACAACTGTATAACATAAATACATCAAGTAAATTTGGACATAATAGATATAATGACATGAATACACTTGCTGAGTAACTACCCAATGGTAGCACTCTAATGATATGACTACATTAGGAGATCACGGGGCCATCTTCTTTTCAGACGCCTCGGAGGGTTATCAGGAATTGAAGAGGAAGCAAGGTTAGAAACGAGAGGGTTGGGATGACTCTGAAGTTTATTATGGAAGGATAGGTATCTGGATTGGGCCAGATCTGTAACATAAGGAACATTAAGATCTTTATGGATAATTTTATTAGTGACAAAGTAAGGAGCATTGAGGATTTTACGAAGGATTTTGGATTGTAAGGATTGGATGCGAGAGGAATTCGATGGTTTAGTGGAGCCCCATAGCTCAACTCCGTAAGTCCAAATAGGTCTTATTATAGTCAAGTATATGAGTCTTTTGTAATTAATGGGAAGTTTAGAGCGTTTGTCTAGTAAGTGCTGAAGTAATCGGAAACGTCGAGCGGTTTCTTGTCGTTTCAGTCTAGTATGAGGATTCCAAGTTAGTTGTTTGTCCAGGTGGAGTCCTAGGTATCGGATTTGCTCAACAGGGATAAGTGGAGTATTAAAGGAAACGGTAGGACAGGAAGTCGTTGGTTTACGACGAAATTTATTATTAAAAAAAAAATATGCAAATACAACCCAAAAAAGGTCTTGGGTTCAGCACTTCATAAAGGTAATGTTTTTCCCCATTGAATGATATCCCACTATATAGAGGCTACCTGTGCCACAGGATGGATTCTGAAATCTGTTCGGATGCAACAGAGAAATCATTATTTGTCATAGCGTGACATGGAGTATAGGAGCACACTGTCTTACTTACTGAGCTACTCAGCTCTATGTATGATAATAAAGAAATTTGAACTTAATAATTTAGAAATTATGGGTACATTTGGGGAAAAAAATATAGTACTTTCTTTAAAATTAATATACCTGTTTTAATTCTTCTAGACTGCCAGTTGGAGGAACTGATGGTATGCTTCGACTTAAACCTCTCGTAATGGCTTCAAATTCTTTCGCTACTCTTCGGGCATTCATGTAGTCCCTACTTCGTTCCATCGCCATTTTTTCGGCAATAATCGGGTTGATACCTTGTTCATAAGCCATGTAGTCTTTCCACAGGTTTTCTATTTTTAGCATGGGATTTACCACTCCCCTCTGATATACCTAATTTTATAAAAAAAAAAAAATTTAGAAAAAGCACTAATGAAACTGTTAAAAACCCAATACATAAAAATATTCATATTAATAATGTATTACTTTTCGAACTGCAGTAATTTTTTGATTTTCTGCGTACGAACCAACAGCTTCAACTCCTTTCAAAAAGGTAACATAATCATTCCAGATGCTATAAGATTGAATATCCATACCTATTTTCTCTAAAGCGAAATCGTACGCTTGTGCCATCTTTTCTCTACAAATTTATTTTTAAAAACAAATTAAATTAATATTGCTCACAATTTTCTATAATTCAATTTATTATAAATGATTAATACAGTAGTTCTTGCAAATCAAATAGATTTTCCTCAAGATTTATTAAATATAATCTAAATACTTACTTAAAAGTCGGTAAAGCTGCTTTAGTTTCTTTCACATATGCTAAATACAATTTCCACAGTTTAATGTTAAGAACTTTAATCAGACATCTTTGAAATAACTAAAAAAAATAAATAAATAATTACTTGAAATAAGCAGATATTCAGACAAAAAGAAATATATTTTATGTAAACTTGATTCCTTTTGATGAAAGGGGGCAGCACATTTAAAAACACCTCAAACATCATAATGTCCGATCTCTTTACTTCAGTTATAAAGATATTCTTTAGTTGAAAATATTTACTCATGAATATCAATTAATTATATTCTTATAAATTATATAATAATTAATCAAATTATTATGTTCTTCTAAATGGTCAAGTGGGCTAATTTGTTTGCAATAGACAATATCTTGAACATGGTAAGTGTATGGATGGATGGTTGATGATCCACTGCGGAAAGCCATGATCCCTCCTGGGTATGTGAAACCCTTCAGTCTACTGGAGACAACACATTACTAGGATACTATTTATTTTAATGTTATACACCTTATACATAGTGATAAACATAAAATAAAAACACTATAAACATAAAATAACTACTGTTTTATTTCACACATGAAAGGCACAGGAATAGGATACATGCAGCTAATCTAATTATCTTTTGTACTTCCCTTCTCTTCCTCGCCTTTTAGGCTATAGGGGATTCCCTGCCAGAAGCTCCTCTCCTCAACGGAACGCGAACTTTTTTTTCTGTTCTCCCTTAACTCGCCTTTTTAGGCTAATGAAGGTTTTCTCCAGCCAGGGGATGAGGGCGGGAAATTTAAAAGACCCTCAGAGACATTGAGGATTATTTCCTCTCTTCTATTTATCTGAAGGTCCGCTCGATTGGGAACTACAGAGGGCTCGACCACTCTCAACTTATTGTCTCTTAAAACATGCCAGAGACCTTGCCATTTCTCCAGAGCCTTTCTCTTTACCAAAGCCACTACTTCATTTGAAAAAGCCTACCCTACTGGAGTTCCTTCTGTAATTGCTTGTTTTGCCATGATATCGGCTAGCTCGTTACCTCTAATACCTGAGTGGCCCGGTAACCACAAAAATTTTATCTTATACCCTAAAATGTTTTTATAAATCTATCTGTGTCTGTGACTAATGAATTAGTTGAAAATGAATTTTTAATAGCTTTAAGAGCAGATTCTGAATCTGTAAAAATATAAATTTGCTATTTACTAGTTGGCCCGTGCGAAAAATTTGCAGAAAATTTTGTTTAGTGAAGAAATTCCAAAACAATATGGAAATAAGTAGTTCCTATGTATTACGTTAGGAAGGAATTAATATTTTTTTCCTTAGTCGATTACAATATTCCATCAAACATAATAGACCAAAATATTTATACAAATTGCTTTGCTAGGACCTATTTTTAAACGTTGGCTGGAAAGATAATGAAAGTAATAAAGACTAAATAATGCCCCTATTATGGGATATTCTAAATTATTAAAAATAAAATAAAATGTAAGAACAACCAAATGTCTTTAAGAAATAATAAAGTTAATATAAAAGCCAGGAAAAAAAATGTAGTAGACTATTCTACTCTTAAATGTCCAATATCTTTAAACAGGTAGACATTATTAAGTATACCAAAACTAATGGACTGTATCTATGTTAATGATTGTCCGATTTTTTTTTTTTTTTTGTTTTGTAGGTAATTTAGTAATGTTTCTAATTATCATGGGTACAATCCAGAAAAAAATGCACTCTTTTTGAGTTATTCACAAATAAACTTTATTTTCCTTCATAACTTTTCCCCCAGAAATTTCGGGAGGATGTGACTATTTTTCGCATGTGAAGGAGAAGAATATCTTCAAAATGAATGGTCAATCATTGGATTTGATGAAGAATTGATGAAGTTATGGCGTACCGACAAAAAAACACCTTTATAAATAATATATAGGATTGCAGTTGAGACATTAGCAAAGATATAACGAGTTAATATGTTTTCCGATATTTTTAAAGTATTCTTGCGCAGGACTCCATGGGAACCTATTAATTCTTCTCAGTTTATCGAATAATTAGAAAACTAAACTTCAAGAACATTCTAGATCCTTATGATCAAATAAGCCAAAGTGGTTTAAATTAGACTAAACTTTAAAATAGAAAGAAAAAGTAAAAAAAAAATCTTAAACGGAATACTGTTCGCGCGGATAAAGCAAATGATTTTTTTATTAGGTTTCGCACTAAGATCTATCAGAAAGTCTAAATTAAAATCTTTAATATATCAATTAATTATATATAGTTTAATATAGTTAAAGTGCAAAACCTGCTGATTTAACAAAGGAAAAATTCATAAAAATTATTAATGATGAACCTGGAAAAGACACTCAAATGTGGAGCAAATAAATTTATCTCAGACCCCAGATGCCTCTAGGGTGATGAATGGCAGATATAGAAATACCAAGAAGGGTGATAGAGGAAAAGGGTGCAGCGTACAAGAAGATTAGCGGAGAAGAAGTCCTTAAAATATATCACTAAATATGTAAACATGGTTGAAGGAGTGCCCAGAAGAGAGTTTCATGTTTTTTTGAGGGAGGCACATTTCGGCGTGGTTGTAAATTTTCGATACAAAAAGTTACAAAACAAAAGACAAGTGGAAGAATGGAAAATACTGCAGGCTGTGTAATTGTATATAATATACGATTTTTTAAATTATTCTTTTGTTTTCACTGTTTTTAAGAAGAGGTGAGCAGTATAATACCTTGTGAGGGGTCGGGGAAGGTTCATGCGCCATCGATCTTGGGGAGGATGAGCACCCTTGCATGGATGGATGGGAAGGCTGCCGCATTGGACATATCGATTCATATTTCATACTAAGCTTTATCCTTATAAATTGATCATATCCACAGGACCTGATGAGAAAAATGCACGTCTGCCAGTATATAGCCGCAGGAATACGAAATGGCGGTCATGTGAAGATAGATAGAGACCCTACATAGGTTGTAAGCGTATATATAGAGAGAGCTTATAGATATACAAAGCTACCAACCCTTTCAATTTATTGTATTTACAGTCTTAAGACATGAAATAATAGTCAGTTACTCCATACTCGGTGCGTTTCAAGTCGAAAAATTGAATTTACTATTTAAAACGTTTACTTTTTCGTTTTTTTTTCGCTTATATCCGTGAAACTATACGCTCTATCTATTAATGAATGTTGATGAAAATAATTTTATTATTCTGGGTCTAGTGTCCCTTTAGAACAAATCACAAATACAGAATATATATCAATATTAATATGTGATATGTGAAATTAAAGCTGACAAAATTTTCAATAGAAATGATTACATTAGTTTTATCGATATATTCCTTAGTTTCCGCAATATTCGTCCTCGTAATTCACTATATTAAAAAAAAAAAAATTGCATCGTATTTTTATTATTATTTGATTCGCCAACTCTTTATAGTTTCATTTTACGAAAAAGTCATGAGGAAGAAAGTTATTAAATATTCTTTAATAATATATATTACTTTACTATCTTATATTCAACCATTCAAAGGCTAGAGCAATTATAATTTAATGATTAATCGCCGAAACTATACAGAAGAACTTACTTTTCGCAATTTTCGATACTACACAGAGCTCTTACTCTGTACACAAGAGAACATACATGTGTATATATTGGCTTACATAATATACATACACTGCAGTATATACAGATTAAGAGCTGTGTAATAACAAGCCTTCGCCGAAAGGAAATTTGAGCAAAAAATTATTATTTTTCGATTATTATGAAAATTTGTACTTTGTAAGGATTTTTGAGGTGCGAAACACAAATCTTAACTATGATTCTTTTTATAAAAATATCCCAACCTACTTTACTCCTTGGGTCAGTACTATTTGTTTCAATATTGAACACATACTATAGCTGTTTGTCAAATATATATTTTCTTAACCGGTAAGGTATCAAATGTAAGAATGTGTGCACTAATTATAGTATTTTGTTAAGATTCAACACGAAAATAAGAATAAAGCATTTATTGTAAATATTATACACATGTTATATATTTTTTGGGGATAAAAAAATATGATATTCATCTTTCGCAACCCTAAAACAACCATTTTCGTAGCGATTGAAAAATATCTAATATTTTTCGACCTAGTATCACCAAAAAAAGTCTCATTTAAATCGGTGACCCCACGTCCGTAACCTCCCCTTGTTAATAAGGAAGTACTGTTTGTGCAGAGAGGTGATCGAGTCAGATCCACGCTCAACCTCCAGGATTTAAAACTTAATTTATTAATAGAACCTACTTTATGGAGGCGGGGTGTACCCCAGGAAGGTATTCCGACTCAAGGATCAATTCACGGTTGATGAAATATTACCTGTCATCAACCGGATTCGAACCCGAGACCTAGCCTTGGAAGTCTAGTCCGTGGTATAGAGCCCTTTTTATGAAATTATTAACATCCGCCTGAAATTTCATAAATAACTTCATCTCATCGCAATCTACAAATATTTTATTTATGAAAATTCTCAGAATCGGGGCGTTTTCAATCTGGAGGTCGTTAAACATTGTCTATTTAATGAGGTACTGAAAACTCGTAAATACTCATTTGCTTTTCACTTGAATCATAAGATAATTTGAGCACAAAGACGAAAAAGAAGGTGATCTTCAAAAATATTGAGCGGTTTGGCGTGATTTGTACTCCAAACGGCCCAATATTTTTGTAGGCCACCTTTTTTTTTTTTTTTTAATTTGTTCTCAAATTATCTTTCAATTCATGTGGAAAGCAAATGGGTATTTACTAATTTTAGTTGCCTAATTAAATAGACAAAGTTTGCCGACCTCCAGATGGAAAAGTCCGAGAATTTTCGTAAATAAAACGTTTGACGGTTACGATGAGATGATGCAATTTACCAAGTTTCAGACGGATGTTAATGATTTCATAAAAAGAGGTCTGTACCACGGACTACTCAATATGAACCCTTTTAACAATGAACAAATATCCTAATTTGATACATTTATATTCTTTCATGACCGCTTTGGAACCGCGTAAAGGATTGAAAGAGGGCAAAATTGGGTACTAGCATGTATTATAATTTTTCATTCGTCAGTGAACATT